TGGAYTTGTCATTTTACATGTGCTGTGTCAAGACAAACAGTGGTAGCCATGGGATGGGCTGAACGTCAGCCAAGCCCAACTCGGGTTGTTTAGTTTTGCAATAAAACGGACCGTGATGTTCTGCTGGTTCATAAGGAGTGTCAGTCACACCTTTCTAATATAAAGTCTTCACCACCTAAAAGCTGTAGCCAAAGCCCTGCTTTAACCTCTGCCTTTGCAACTAAGAGCTTGGGGTAAGTTGTGCAATTCTGCAGGCCSTACGTGGCTTTTCAGACATTGAATCATTAGTCTCATGATGTCCCTGAATAACCATCTTGGGTCATTAAACTTTATTGTGTCCATTGCTTCTGTAAAGTTTCTCCCTGAGTGTCCATGTTTAATGGGCTTTTTTATGGAAATTACTTACCTGTCTCTCTGCGGAATCCTCAAAGGGACTGGGCACGGAATCCTCAAAGGGACTGGGCACGGAATCCTCAAAGGGACTGGGCACGTGTGTGTCGCACTCCTCTCTGTTTTACAAAAAAAATTAGCAGCTTTTTTTGGAAAGCAAGTGAGTTTTTGCACTTTGTGGTATGTCGGTGTTCAGCATGGGCTAGAACAAAATTTTCCTTTGAACTGCTTATTCCATAGCTGTTTTCTTCAACATGCCAAAACTGCAGCTTCTGGTATCTTTCTCTGATAGCTTTATATTCCTGGATATATTTGGGAATCGCTTGCTGCAGTCGGCTCTTCATTCTCAGACACTTAATGTCCAGGAGTGGTGGCTAGGTAAGTTAAGCAAAAGAACAAAGGAGAATTATTGGGGTTCTGAAGCAGGGAAATAACCCATCACCTTTAAGGATGTCCTGTGGAAGGGAGAACTGCTGTGCACCAAAAATTGGGTTTCTGAGAATATTGTACATCGTCTTTTTTTTGTATGGAAGAATGAGGAATAAGACAAAAACAGTTGCTCTTTTGGTCTTTTGTGTGAACAAAGCAGTGCATTTTTAACCCCTCTTTTAAAAAATGGAGGGAGAAAATTCTTTTATTGCAAGTGTACAGCAGGTGCTGTGCTCATTTTGTGTCACATCAAGTGCATAGGAATTAGGTGATGTGTTGCTTACACATATAGGCACATACGTACATACATTTTATAAGATACTGTTTTAGCCAGTTCTCATTAGGAATGTCATTTCTTGTAAAGATAATCCAAAATGCTTTCCTTGACCTGGAGAAGGCTTTAATTTCCCTTTCCTTTTTTGCTGCTACTGACAATACAATGCAGGGATCAAATGAAACGGCAAGTGCAAGCCTCTAAAAAGATTTACTGTGGTGTGAAAAGGAGCTGAGTTCAAAGTGGCGATAAAGGTCGCTGGAAACATGAAGTTCAGCGATAGCCGCCGTTCGGTAGCGGTGTGAATCATCTCTGCAGATTTTCATGAATTATTACTGTGTGTGTACTCATTCGTAAGGCACTACTGACCCACTGTTGTKGCCAAAGGACTGATAGCAGCAGGATGGCAGCAAGCGATACAGTTTTTATGATACCTTTCAGAATTATAATTAAAAACTTGGAATCTGGATAGTTTGTTGATTTSATGAGTTTGAGTTTTTTCATATTTAGAAATTGCAGGATCAAATTTGTGAYGCTTGTGTACTCTTCGGTAACCAAGCATCCTGAAAAGAATATAGTTGTCCGAAAGCAGCGATGGGGAATTGTAAATCAAATTCTAGTTCAGATATTTATGCTCAATTCACTTGTTCAGCTCTTACTCCATATGTAGCTAGTAAAACAAAGAGGGCTGCAAAAAACTTTGCTTCTGGGTCTTGAATGTTGGCAGTATTATGGATATGTTAGTGGAGACAGGATCATGCTTCCCTTTCTTCTGGACTTTCTTCTTCTGTCTACCTGACTGAGCACCGGTTTCAGAAACGCAGAGGGAGGGCAATGAAAAGATTTTTTTTCTCCTTTCTCCTCCTTTTTTTTCTSTTTCTCTTTTTCTCCTTTTTTCACATAATTTTTCTTTGACCTKTTTCTGAAGATGTGACGAGCACTGGAGGTACAGGTGAAATACCTGCTTCTGTCATGGAAAGGTCAACGTATGGAAAAAAATGAACATGTTGAATATCCTTTAGCTTATATTCCTTTGAATTTCCAATTTGTGAGCTAGAAAAGTCATCTTATATCTTTATTTGAAATGGAAAGATTCCTCTTGCAAAGTGCCAGAATGTATCTCTGAGAAATGTAATAATATATGGTATTTTAAAATGTCAGTGATAAATATTCTTCCTGCTTACAGGATGCAAATATATTTATATATATATATATATATGCATATGGATACACGCTGATTTTTGTAGAGGAATAAAAAACTTCCAGAACATTTGAGTTGGGCCAGTTTTGTGCTGGTGCAAGAAGAATAGTCAAAAAACTTGGAGTTTTTAAACATATGTTGTAATTACTTTATGATAGCAAGGTCTTTCCTATGTGTTTTTCTTTCTAGGAGTGAAGAAGGGAGATCTTAGTTACAAGTACAGATTAAAGGATCACTTTCCATAATGGCAGTTCAGAGAGGTTTTAATCTGCTCTGTGTTSTTCATATACAACCTTTATTGCTCCCTATTTTCCCCTTTTTGGAATACTTCCTGCAAAACTTGTATCTGAAGTAACTTAGAAACCCTTTCATAGTCCCCTGCCATCAATTATTCCTAGAAATTGGGCATGAACAGATTTTAATGAACTCAAATTTTTCCTTTCCTGAGCAATTCCAGCATAGATATGCATCCCTTCTTCCCTTGCAATTCAGCATGAGATGCTGGATGCAATGAATTAATATGAAGTGCAGCAGCACGCACCGGGTTCGAGCATATGCTGGGGCATCACCTCGCCGCGCTCAGCGAGGAGCCGGCAGATTGAGCTCCGTCTGTCGGCTCCGCTGGGGCCGCGCCAGGTCTCCAATTGCCAAGGGGAATCTGCGAGGAAAATGCAGCGTGTTCAGTGCTGGGGAAGAAGCTGAACCTCTCGCTGCTCCGATGTGGGCAGGCAGCATAACCTCAATAGTGCCCCATGGTTCCCGTCTGCAACACTAGATGTACAGCGGCACGAAAGCAGCCTGAGGAAGCAGCCTTATTTCACGTGAGTCTCCACGGTAGCATCAGGCAACGTGACGAAACATTTCTGCTAGGACTGGGTTCGTATAGAAATGTGTGAGTGGTTATTTCAGCCTCTGAAATAAGGCCCAGCTTGTTCAGATGTCACAGTGCAACCTTTCAGGGAGTTCAGACATACGAGTACCTCTTTATCAGGTCACAACTTCTACAGCCTTTTGGAAAGATCGTCTCAGCAAATCTGTGTGATGAGAGGTGTGATCTTGTTATTGTTTTGATATATTGTTAAAAATGACACCAATTTCAGTAATTGATAGCATGATTAGGAAGGCCTTTTCCTAGTCAGTTAACTGGTTAACTTAGCTGAATATGCGTATTTCTAACAAAAGTCTTGTATTTAAATCATGCTTTTCACATAAAAAGAAACTAGTAGCAGATCTTGCTGTTACATCTTTGTTTTCAGAGCAAATGTGCAGCCCTTTTGCCCCATGTCATTTTTTATCTTCTAGTGGTTGTAATAGCTGTAAGTGAAACAATTGCTCTGCTGCCAGAAGAGTGAGAACACAGAAAGAAAAATGGCAAGTTGTTAGCTATGTAGTGTTTGCAAATGCTGCACATTGACCGCAGCGTCTCATTTTCTTAAGATACTAGGATAATTTTAGTAATACTTTATTGTATGAGGACTCTTAATTCTTTGAAAATTGTCTGTCTCGTGAAAAGGTTGCAACTGAGTCATAAAATCGAGATTGCTTTTAAGTGGCTTGTGAGCTAGGTGAGCGTAACATATATATAGATACATAWATATATACACCCCCACGCGTGTGGGTATGTATATCTTTATATATATAAACATATATATAAATCATCCTATCTAAGAGCCAAATTCATCTCTAATGCCCAGAGAAACAGGTTGGTAACCTGGTGTTTAGTCTAGCTATTGCTCCTGTGCTTTTTGCCTGTACACAGACTTCTGAAATTGAAGGTGTGAAAAGAAACAAGTTTTGAAATTTCTTGTTTTTCTGAGAGTTTCTAGAATAGGAGCATAAATAATTTTTTTCATGGTTTAGGTGGTTTATTTGCATTGCCAAAATCCCAGGAGGTTGGAAGACAACAGGGCAGACTTGAGGGAAGGTATATTAGTCATTACTCAGTTCTCTTTGATCGGTCTTTAGCAACCAAAGAATTAATAGCTTACCACTGTAACAGAAGATAAATTTGTATTGCAAATTGTATTAAGAGGGAAATAGCAACATGATCTATCTTTTACTGTTGTATAGTTGGCATCACTTTTAATATTTGATCTTTGGCTTGAGCTTTTTATAGACTGATAAGCATCATTTCTGTCAAGGGATTATCTGATTTAGAAAATGTGTCTTGATTTCCCTTTGGAATTCAAGTTGCAGGCAAAAAAATGAGTTTGTCATCCGTAACACATAGTACTTTGTGAGATGTTATATGTGTCCTGTTATTAATTGTTAAGATTTCTTTCTGATACTGTTGATTGCTCTTGTAGTGCAAGACTATTTYCCTATTTGAGTTTTGGTCTCAGGGAGCAAAAGAAACTGCCATTTCTAATGTTATCCTGAATGTGCCTTCCTATCTGAAATTAAATTTTCTGCATGGGCAATCCTGAACACTAAGGCCCATGCAATGGTGATCGGGTCAAGGATTATTTTTTCCTGGGAGGTATATTGCTGCTTAAACAATAGATAYGTGGGAACTTGAAGCTGACAGAAGGAAGACACTTTATCTTTCCATACCTCGCCTTAGGGGTTGATAGTGAAATGCACTTGTGAAAGATCTAATTTATATAAGAAGATAACATTTCAGCAAGATGCTTTGCTTTTGCTTTCCTGTATTTTTGTTGTTTTAAGAGTTGCTGATTTATTTTCTTTTTTTCCCCTTTTCTCTAGTAAAACGCTTCAGAGAACCAAAGCATGAAAGGCGTCCTTGGAGGATATGGTATGCTGCCATTTGTGTTATTTTGAGCTGTTAGTTCCTTGGTGTTTTAGGAATTGAAAGAAGGATCATTTGCTTATGATGGTGATACCTGAATGGAAGGGCAAAAAGTGACCAATGCAAAACGTCAATGCAAAACAGTTACCTTCCYTTCTGTTTTCCTGTCGGCTTGTTCTTACTAACCTCTTCCTGGACTTGACAGAAGTCACATTTTAAGCATGAAGCTTCAAGTTGCACTTCCTCACAAAGACACAAGATCTTACCAAGATCTTTTTTTAATGTGTTTGGCACATGCATAGAAAAATAAAAGCTCTTTCAATATTTACGAGATTCTCTTCAAAGTCTGATTAAATCTGTACCTTTCAGTGTACCAGTCTGCAGGAGTGCAAGAACCAGTAGGTCGGATTTGCTTCTCTGAGCTACTAATTCATAAGAAGCTCTCRGCAAAGCATAAGCAAAATGTATGTTCTGCAGCAGTCCTGCTAGGTACAAGATAGAGAACAGTGTGGTGCAAGAGATAAATATAAACCATAAAAATACAGGGTGTAAAAATGTGTGTGTGTGTGTATATATATATTTACTTTTTGAAAGTTGTATTGTAGTACCTATGTACCTATGAAACTCATGCTGATTATAGTGGAGACTGCTGTAAGTTTGTGCAATTACTGTTCTCTTTATTGAAGAATACACTTTTTTCACTAATTTCAATTCATCTTATACAATGTTGCTTTTCCAAACTAATTCAGACCTTTAGGTTATTGAAAAGATAAATATGAAATAAATTTTGGAAAGAAGAATACAAAATCTTTTGATTGGAACTGTTCTGCCTATGTATGTGTATATATATTACATTATGTATATATACACACATACACACACACATTTATGCAATGTAGCATTGATTAGGCAGGCACTGCCTGCCCCATCACCACTGCTTCCAATGCTATGAGATGAGTTTAAGAGGATGAAGTTTAAGATGAGATTGTCAGGGARGAGAGATGAACTGAGGTATAAAATACTGTTTTGCTTTGCTGAACTTTTTAGGAAACAACAGGCAAAGCAAACACTGATCTGTGTAAAGAGCACCCAATTGCCTACATGCTGCTTTTGACACAACTCATATGTTTAGCATATTGAATAATGTGTCTTCTAGTTCAGGTTTTGTGCAAGAAATTGTAATAAAAGAATATGATTAAGGGTCTGGATTCAATCTTGAATCTGTACCTGACTATTTAAAATAGAAATATATGTTTTTTTCTTTTCTTGTAAATATTGAAGTGTTTTCCTTCAGTTTCATTCATCTGCCTTGGAAATAGAGCCTTTGGGGGTGAAATTCTTTTGCAGTGAGATCTAAGCCGTTGTATTATAGTTGAAATTTGATGTAGTCATTTCATACTTTCAGGTGAAAAAACCATGTGTTGGCTTTTTGTAAAACACTGTGGGTTAAACAGTTATTAGCCRGCTATTATTTTGTAAAAGAGATATGTGATGTGCATTTTGTTCCTGTCTGTGCCATAAATGTGCTAAAAGCACATGAATGTAAAAGGACTGAAATATTTTAGCAAGGTTGATAAACTCGTTGTTTGCAGAAGGTTATTAAAGACTTTGCTAGGTTTAGTGAGCATTAGATAAAACTGCAAGGTTCTCACTAGACCTTAAATTACCACCAAGGTCTCAAGTCGGTGCAATTCAATTATTGTTAGCACTCGTAAAGAAAAAAAATAGCAAGGGTTTGAATTGAAACTGGAACAATGTCAAACAAGCTAAGTATTGTAACGTGTTATTCATGTGCTCTTTTTTAAGGAAAAAAATGGGATATACTTTTAGTTAAATTTAACTCTGCTGTATTCTACTATATTTTGTTCGTCTGTTTCTTAAAACCTGCTCTTTTTACTCTCTCCCTAGGTTTTTAGACACTTCCAAGCAAGCCATAGGGATGTTGTTCATCCACTTTGCAAATGTGTATCTATCAGACCTTACAGAAGAAGACCCCTGTTCACTGTGAGTGTTGAATCCAGACTTAACTGGTGTCAATGGAAGCTCTCCTGGCCAATAATACAAACAGCGTTTGCAGAGAGACAATTATCAGTGCTTCAGTCACTTTTGTAAACTTGTATTTTAAGTGTAGTTAAATCTGGATTAAAAATCTGATCTTTTAATTCATGTTTGACAGGGTCTGGGAATGCCTTAGCTGGTCTGTGTGTGGACATTTTAGACTGAGGGCAAACTCTATTGCTGCTCYCCCAGTTAATGAATAGAGACTTCAGAGGCACGTGCAATATGAGGCAATTTACTGAGGCAGGTAAGAGATACCAGGAACCAGTAAAAACAAATATCAAACTGCATGTGCTGACTTCCAAAAGTTGTTCACTGGAACCAGCCTTTCCTATGAAACCAGGTAGCTTTCAGGGATATCAAGCAAAAACTTTCCTTCTAAAAATCTACATGAGCTCCTGAAGTATTATATTCATGTAATAGCAGGAAATCTTGCTTGATACCCAGACATTTAATACAGAAATTAATTTTGCAATCTCACGCTTGGAGCAGTGTGACTAAGTAGATAAGCATTCCACTRTAGTATATTAAACCTGAAGAGTTTATGACTAAGACCCCTTCAGGCTCTTTACAGAAGCTGCTGAAGCAAAGGGTAATTGTTGGAGTTTGTTCTTGACGGGSCTCATGCTCAAAGCCTGCAAGTTGCTGGTAATAGAAGCTGTGAAATGACTCTGAAAAGCCCAGTAATTTGCCCTTTAAGACCAATGTGGGTCCTTCAGTGGCAGCTGCTTCTTGTTGTTCTTTGGTAATCAAAGTAGTTAGGTACCTCAAGGACTCTGTGTTTGTATTGCTGAGTACATCTATGTGTTCTATTTACTTTATTTCTGCCTAGTTTGCTTGGTGTTCCTGTGAGCCATAAACATAGACCGTTTTTCCTCCCACCAGAAAACATTTTATTGGAGAACGTGCATTTATTTTAATGAGCTAACTGTAAAGGTTGAGATATAATTATGAGAGTTTCAATAATACCAGGCATCAGAGTGGGATTTTTCCCTGTCTAGTGATTTAGGAATTTCCTGAGAGATTTATAAATTTGACCGGTGAAAATTAATCRCATTTTATTTTTATATATGAGCTAACCAGAACATGCCCCAAATTGTCAGTGTTTAAAGCTTAAGCTTAGTGCTATATTAAAATACTTATACTATCGCAAAGCGATTTTCTATACTGAATTTTCAAAATAACATTTGCTAAGCATCCAGAAGCAGACCTTTTGTATTAGAGTAGTTTTCGACAGGAGCAGCCTGTATGGAAGATGGAGTAAATGAACTTTCTTTGCATGATACGACTAATGCAAATACTGTTAGTTCTGGAATCTTCCTGWGTATTTTAACATGAAACATATTGATTTGACTGTAAATAATATATGAATATTGGCATGATAAGTAGCAAGTGCAGAAGATACCTTAGTATGTATTAACGGATATTAAAAGCTCAATTTGTGCATTCTRCATCTGTTTTAATATAGTTTAGGTAACTATAGTTACATTCAGATACCACCTTCCACTAAGTTTAACTGGATATGCACAAAAAGAAAGGGTGAGTGAAAGGACTGTTAACTGTGCTTTCAAGATGACACAAAAACTGCTATTATAAGCTGTGTATTTTCTCAGGTCAAAATTTGTGAATAAAATCAAGATTTTCCACARGTTTCAGTAATGGTAACCCTTTAACTCAGCTGACTGTATATTGCAAATATTTTTCTATTCTTACCTATTTTGTAGCTTATGGATTATTTTCATAATAAAAACAATAAACATGGTTTTAGGCAACATTGTAATTAAAAGCTTGGCAGGATCGGAGAAGGTAATTGCCATTTGTTGGTATAATTATTATCCTGCTAGAATTCAGGCAGGTATGTGAGAGATGAAAGCTGATTAAAATGTCCATTAAAGCACCTCAAGACAGATGGGTTGTAATTGGAAGAGTTTTAAATAGCAGAGCAAGCAGTATGTTGTACACCAGGAATTGTGTAGAGACCCGCGGCGTTTTTCTCACCGAACCCTCAGCCAAATGTGTTTGTTTGATGGACAGCAGCCTGTTCCCTTGTTTGTGCCTGTGCACAGATTGCACATGAGTAGAATTAAAACAGTGCATTACAGACTTGCTTCTATATAGTGAGCCTGATGTGTTTGGAAATAATCAGCCATGCTTTGCTGGCGCAGTAAGGTGCGATTTGATGTGGGATCCCTGCTCCTGCTGGAAGCCTYCCTGGTATTTTCCAGACATAGACTTGCAGCAGCCCCTTGTGGTCTTAAAATGACTCGTAGGTTTGTTGTTGCTGGGATTCCTCTGCCAGGCACCAAACAGCAATTTGAATGTGTGTCTAATGTGCTGTGTGTGAGTCTTGGCTGAAACGAGATATCAAATGACTCCCAAGGTTCAGCCCAAATGCTTCTCAAAGAGTTGTTTTTTCAAACATGGTTTCTGCATTTGCTTTTGACTTTGGGATATGATTTTATGCACACAGATTTGTTCTTCAGGTGCTAGAAGCCCCCAACTTTCTCCAATTTGTTATTTTTATTCCTGCAGATACGTTCCTATGGACAGGAAAGCTTATCTTAAGTATTGAGAAATATTGTTTGCTAAGAAGACTTACCCTTGGTTTCTTTTACCTGCTTTTTTGTTTCAGGTACCTTATAAACTTCTTGTTAGATGCCACGCTCGGAATGCTGTTAATCTACGCAGGGATTCGGGCAGTCAGCAGCCTTGTGGATTGGCAGCAGTGGGAGTCCCTTCGCTTTGGTGAATATGGTAAATGTTTCTTTACTTGTGCTGAGATATTTCTGAGACAGAATTTCAGAATATTTCTGTTATTGACCTATCCTAAAATCATTACGCATCTCCCAAGAGTCTTTTTAAGTTGTGTAGTGTGCCGTGCARTCTATATGCTTAATAAATATAGGTTTGCAGCTGCCGAAAAAAAGCAGTTTCAGATGTATACTCTTAGGAGTTATAACTATTATTACTGTAAATATACAAAATAACTATAGAAATAACTATGATATCATTAGTACGGTTGTAACTTCAGTTATATYTTCTCAGTTACGAAGACAAGTTATGTAGCCCTTTGGGAGCGTTTCTGTGACCATTTAAGCTACTTTGTCAGCACTGCCTGTTCATCTRCTTTATTCCCATCTGCTGCTCTCCAAATGCTTCTGCTCATTTCTTTGGGCTTGTACTCCTCTGACCCTATAGGGGATTGATTTGGAAAGCAAAGCCAATAGAAAATTTACTGTGTAGARAGTAGTAAATAGCTGGTTTTTAGATCAGTTCCCAGACTTGGGTCTCTAAAAGACTGGGGTCCTATTGGGGACACTACTAAACTACCCTTAAAGTCCCCTTTTCTGATTGTCAGTTTGGCTTGGAGTCTTTTCAGTCTGTTTGAGCACATTCCAGACCATGTAAAATTGACTCTGTGTTTAAAGCAATTTTTTTGTGCACCTGTTACATAACTGTAACTCAGAAAAAAARTTTCTTTTTCTGATGGCTTACTCTGTTTTTTTTCTATAGTGAAACCTATTTGTATTTTATTAAATAATAAGGCATCTGTGAATTAGCTAAGTTCTTAACCTCAGCAGGTGAATGTGTTGTATTCTGCAGGAGAGGCAGCATAGGATCCTCTGTTGTCATTTTGAGTTGGGAAATTGAAAATGCTTCAAACTTGTTCATCAAGTATTTCTTCTCCTTGTCCATGCATATAAATGATGCATGAAATAATATAATTTCTCTTTCCAATATCAGAACGTTTTCTTAGTGGCTCTTTCATTTTTGTGCCTTTATTTAATGTGCTGTCTCTGAACTTTATTGGAAAGTGTTGCACATCTGTGTTGGACATTTCTGTTAATTATGTGTGGAAAGCTTATCTAAAGAGAATTAGAGAATAGGTGGAAAGTGATTAGGTTGCAAAGGGGTAAATTAGACCTTATATAAGAAATAAGGAAGTGTCTATAAGTTGCATTGCAACATTCAGCACCCTCTTCTTAAATACACATTTTGTCAAGTACAGTTTGAAAAGGAAGGAGGAATACTATGTATAGGTTTAGTATTTGAAGAWAAACCTGGCTGTGTAGAGCATGTGTAGACATGTTTTAGAGAATTTGGGTGTTTTACAGGAAATAGAAAGTGGCTCCATGTGTTTTAATCTGTTGACAAGTGAGGAAAACCAAGCAAGAGCCCCCAGACAAGCCGCCTCTTTTGCCCAGGCTCTGCTCTTTGTATTGCTAGTGCCCAAATAATGATTTATCTTGGTTCTCACGGTGAGCTCATTTCCCTTCTTAGCTCTATTACTTGATCCCTGCTGATTCACTGCTTGAGAAGCCCTCACCAAAATAGCAGTGGTCCTGCTGGGTTTAAAAGGCTCTCTTTATATGGAGGGTAGTTGTTAAGTGGAAGTGCCTCAGGGAGAGAATGGGTACCAAAATACGAACATTCAGAAATAGCTGCTGCTTACAGAGCAGAGCGACCCTGCGTGCTGATTTATGGGCCAGGCAGCCTGACGCTGCCACAAGGGCTTTTTGTGGCACAGTTGCCACATTTATAAGATTTCTCATCCTCTGGTCACACTCGRCACACAAGGAGCTGGTTTTAATAGAAGCGTGGAATCGGTTGATATACTTAAGCACATAAGGAAGATAAAAACAGTTGTGATTTGTACTGAGAAGAATGTTCCCTGATACCATAAATGCAAAACATTCTCCGTCCCGTCTATATTAGATTTCTTTAGCTGTTGCAAGTAGGAAACAGATGTTTAAATCTCTCTTTGTCAAAATGACCTATATTGGCAACCAAACCCTTCTGTGCTCTCTTTGCTTGCCCTTGCTTCTCACTTAGGAAAGCTTAGAAATAGTATTTGCTCTATCTTTTTCCCCTAGCTCTTCGTGTGCTTTGCAAAATAACCTCATTGATGGATGTACAGTCTTGTAGAGTAGACACACACCGCAAAACTATTTTTTAGTTATTTTGGAGCAATTCTGTGAGCTTTTTTAAAAGAAATCCTTCTGGACATGAAAAGAAACAAGTTAGCACATAGAGGACTGGAGTGTCTTGTTCAAGAGCTGCCCAGACACTTGCAATGAGTGGCTGACTAAACTCCCCTTAGTGTATGTACTAGCTCCTTCATTGCTCAGCATTTTCACCAAATGCCACTACTTTTGTCACCTATTGATTCCTGAGGACTCAAAATTTTCCCTTTTAATATGCTTTTCTTGTTGCAACAACATTTCTGTTCATTTGCTAGTTTATTCTACACATGTAAATTCTATATGATAGATATTAAATCAAAAATCAAGATAGACTGGCCAAGAATCACTAGAAACTAAACTTTGACTTGAACATCAGATTTTGAGTTCAGTTGTGTACTGAACCTTGGAATGGRCTAGTGTCCTGGAAATTCTCAGGATAAACCTATTGGATGTGGTGATGCTTTTAGCTTCTCTTTTCTTGCGTAGTTTGTAAAATAGGAAAAAAACAGATTGGAAAGCATCTCTGGAGGTCACCTAATCTGATCTCCTCCCCAAAACAGGGTTAACTTCAAAGCTAGATCAAGTGGCTCAGGGCCTAGTCCGGTGCAATTTTGGATTTATCCACGGATGGAGATKTACCAAACCCTCTGGGCAAGCTGCTGCAGTGCTTAACCACTCTTACTGTGAATTTTTTCTCTGTGTCGAGCAGAATTTTCCTTGTGAGCGCTGCCTCTTGACTTTCACTGTGCATCTTTGGCAAGTGGGGCTCACTTTTTCTCTACAACCCCCCCCCCGCCTTTATGTAGCACAAGGCTACAGTTACATTCTCTCTTCTCCCTTAGTCCTCTTGTAACAGGGTGATTCCAGGTCCTCGGCTTCTCCTTCTTCTGTACCAGCCACAGGACTTTGTATTTGCTGCTGTTGCATTTCATGGGATTCCTGCTGGCCCATTTCTCCAACATACCCAGGATCCCCCTGAATAGCAGCACTATCATCCAGGGAGAAAACCGTTCCTGCCAATTTGATTTCTTCCCTTTCTTCTTTTAGGATGTCTTTCTTCCTGTAGTGAGGGATAATTTRCTCTTGATCCCATTATCTCCCATTACAGGGTGCAACTAATAACCAGCTACCAGTTAGTTTCCAAGGTCTTTGACCTTGACAGTCAAGTGAAGCTATTTGCCCACATTTTAAGTCTACCCATGCAGTCCCTATTTCCCCAGTCTGTCTACAAAGATACTCTGAAAGACTCTATCAAAGGGCTTGCTAAGGTCAAGGTTAACCACATCCACTGTTTTCCCTTTTCTTTCCTCTTAAAATTAGAGTCAAAAGCTAATTTTAAAAGTACAGTAGAGCACATACACACATCAGATAGAATTTAATATATGCAGCTTTTAGTTTGTCCTAAATAAATAACATTACATCCATCATGGAGAAGAGTGCTCATGGGTAACAGTGGTTACATCTGTTGGTAATAACAAATTTCACAATTTTTGGATGTGCTGCATGGCCAACCTCATGTTGCAGTTGAAAGCAGATGGGAAAAGAGCTCAGAATAAATAGCTAAGTTTTCAATAGTATATCTGTTGTTTTTTCCCRTATTCTTTTCTTAATAAAGAAAAATGGAGAATGCTGATAAACATGTGGCGTATAAAAATTCATTGTTGACATTTCATTCTCCGATATATAGTTCAGGACTGGTATCCCCCAAGGAATCACAATTGCTTCAAGTCACTGCTGATGTTTTCCTCTGAAATTTCTCCCTGTCTTTTTCTAAGCACCATAAGCCTTAAACTGCAGGAAACAATGAAAAACTTGTGGTTTTTTAACCATTTTCTATTTAATGTTTAGCTGTGATCATCACACTGTAAATTTATGTAGGAAAATTCTTTTGTTTTGGGCTCCAGTCTGATTTATCAGTTTTTCTTTGCTCTTTGTCGCCATTCAGTGGCAAGCAATAAATCTCTAGATAATTATTAAGTATTAATACTGAAAGCCTTTCAAAAACATTCCAGAAAAGGAAGCAGCCATTAGGCATTACAAATATACAAAGGCATCTGATTTTCCATTGCCCATTATTCTTCCCCGGGCTCAAAATTTTTAAGCTCTGTTTGAAGATGTGGAGCAAGAGCACTAAGGAGGCTGATGAAGATGCTTTAAAAGGATAAATCAGCTTGATCTCTTCTAATTTTCTCTAAAATATTTATTGAAGTAACATGAAATAAAATAATATGTGCATATTGAACCCTTTTTCTTTTTTTGCAGGTGACCCGCTGCAGTGCCGTGCTTGGATGGGCCAGTGTATTCTGTACATCCTGATCATGATGTTTGAGAAAACTGTCATCATTATAGTGCTTCTGATACCTCAGTGGAAAGAGGTTGGTATTTTCACAGCATTTGACAGACACATGAATTTCTGGTGGCACAAGTCACACAGCAGTACATTATTTAATGCTGTTTTTTGGCTTGGCTTATCTCCCAGTGTCACATCTTCCTATAGTTGCTGCCATTTCGCTCTCTCATAGTGGTGTGTTCTTATACCTTGATTAGGATGCAGCTAATTAGGCTGTCTGGCATCCATTGCTGGCGATATCCTATTACATTTTGGGTTGCCTATATACTGTGGTGTGTAAAATTACACTGCACCTACTTGTCTGAGCACTCTAGAAGGAACTAAATGGTTCTTCTTTCTCTTATATATTGAACTCAAAATTAAACCTTTTTTATTTTTTGGTAGTTTTGTAGTATTTTGAAGAATCATTTATATGTGACCTTATTGCTTCATCTAAACTGTACAGTTCCAGTATTTCACAATGGATTAGTGAAACCATTGCTGATGGTTAGAAACAGGTCTGTTTTGGTAGAATCGGTGCACTTCAATATTCAAAGTGATGGTGCTTGTTGCTACAGCAAATTGAAGCCCATTAGTCACTTAATGCTTATTCTAGACTTGTCTGGAAACTAGGAGTCTTCTCTTACTGTACATGTTGTGAAGCTTTAATTGAAGCTTCAAATGGAGTTTAAATTAGCTAAACATGCAACTTAGAACATGTTCCTTGGGAGCTCTGAAATATTCAAGATAATTCTTATAAAGTTCTTCAGACTTCTCTAAACAGAAATGACTTAAGGTCATAGTTGGTTTCTTGACAGCCCCACTTACTAAAGCTGCAATTTAAAAGCTGCCCTAAGTACTTTCCTTTTTTACAAAGCTRCCCCTTTTGATTCTAGATGCTGCTTCTGTAGTATTAGCTAGTGCATGAACAACTGCACTGACTAATCCAGTTGTGTGCACATGCTGCTGTGATCTGAATTTGATCCTTTTCTTTTCACAGGTAGCTTTATTGAATCCTATAGAGAATCCTCAGTTGGAGCTGGCTATCGTCATGCTGATAGTTCCCTTCTTTGTTAATGTTAGTACAACTGCATGCTTCTCTGAGATAGTTACGTGTATTTCCTTCTCCTATCTGTTACATTATTAACGTTAATCTTTAAAGTACWATGTGCCTTGGTGTTTAAGTTGCCTTAATTTTAAAAAGGGTGTTAAAAATGATAAAATGTTACAGGTATGTCGATTTGATACAGCCAAAATCCATACTGAGTGCAGTAACTGGTCTCAGGAGAAGTGCAGCAATGTCTCATAGACCTCCTTGGGCTTATGACTTCAGCAGATGGGATGCAATATTGCAATACTGTCCTAGAGATTCTAAAATTACAGTGAAATTTGCTCGAGGAAGTACTTGATCTAATAATAACTGTACAGCTATATATCCTGTGTCTCACTATAGCTAATAGTGGTTGGCATAGGAAGGAGCATACACTCATACATCCCTAAATGTTGCCTTCCAGCAATCTGGGGTTGAGGGACTAGTGCCAGAGATGCCATCTTTGCAGTTAATAACCTCTCCTGATGGTTTTGTTTTTTTCTTTCATTAATTTGTTCAAGCATGGACTTTATCCTTTGAGAAGGAAAACTTCACTGCACTAAGGTGTCTGCCTGAGACTGTTCATATTTCTGTATAAAGAGTTAATATGTCATCACTGAATAGCAGTTATTTGCTCACTTTTTCCTTTTCTACCAAGGAGTGAGTTAGCCATGTCCTAGAAAATCTGTGCAATGAATAATAACTCATGTGCCCCTGCTCTTGTACAGGATTTTGTCAGTTTGGCCAACTTGCTTTTATTGTTACATGTCCCTAATCCTGTCCAAATGTTGACCAAATGAACATACAGTAACTGGAAGAAAACTGAACTGTCCCTTCCCACTTCTCTTTACCAGGCATTAATGTTCTGGGTAGTAGATAACTTTCTTATGAAGAAAGGGAAGACAAAAGCTAAGATGGAAGAAAAGGAAGCAGGACAAGATTCAAGAAATGGAAGTAAAGTCCGATACAGAAGAGCAGCATCACATGAAGAATCAGAGTCAGAAGTACGTAGACTTAGCTACTGCAGTTAACCTATAGTCCAGTTGCTCCCTCATGCCAGCAATTTCCTTGTAATATTGTCAATTTTGTTTTAATTTTCTTTGTATCCACCTCTGACCATGGTTCCTAATGTCTGTAGTTGAATGCAGGTTAAGAAAATGGCAGAGTCTCAACGCTCACTGATAGTTATTTTCCTTCCAGACAGGTAGGAGGATGTAAGAACATATTTAAATATCACTGGTGAACTTTTACAAGTGGATTAAAACCACCAACGTAGAATACAAAATTAATCAGTCTATCTAATTAAGCTGTTGGAATGCCTTTGAAAGTGAGAGGACAAAATAACTGGCTGGATTTTTGGAGGGGTATTTGTCAGGGCTAGCGTGGTCTCAAGGATGAGGGTCCTGTAGTGACACAGTCACTGGGGACAAGTCAGAATATATGAAGAGAGCMGCTCTGCAGTCCCGTTGTTGTCCTTGGGGATTTGTGAGCTTTTGAGGCAGCAGGGCATTTGGGTAGGGATGGATTAAAGTTTCCATATAGTTAGTGTGGTAGGATGTGCACAACCAAATAACGGGGTTAGCTCAAAATGTGTTGCGTTTTATTACAGAATAAATTAACCTTTTAAGCATCTGATCATCCTGCAGATATTGCAGGATGCTAAGGGTATTGCACTGATCTTCAAATCTGCTCCACTAATTAGTTTTCAGTGTTATACAAATAAACATCAGCTTCCTTCTCTAGCATTGCACATCATCTTGTATCTGAATTTGAATGGATTTAATTAAGAGTAAGAGTAGGAGTCTTTTGGTTCATTTTCAAAATGTCACAAGCAGAACGGTGAAATCTGAGTGGCTCAGAAGTGCCTGTGTGGGGTGASTCTACTTAACTAAATATTTTCTCTACTTGTCATAAAAAAAAAAGATACAAGAGCCTCTGCTGCGTATGCAGCTAATTGCCATTCATTCAGTTCCATTTCTTTTTCCAGTGGTATACTTTCAGAGTGTTACAAAATGATTTTCTGCTGTATCCTGAAGCAAAAGATGAAAAAAAAAGGAGAAAAAAAACCCTGCTTATGTCATTGCCTTTGAGTATAAGTTTATTCTGAATTATAGTAAGTGTTTAGTTTTCARTTTGCCTGAAGGATGGACAGAATTCATGAAAATAAGTTTCTAGTCACAGCTGACTGGTGCTATTTTTCTGAATTAGAAATAGTGCTACCTATGTTTTTGCTTATAAAATAACTATTATATTGCAAATGTGGGTAGAAATGCAGTGTGGTCTCTCTCACTTGCTTTTGCCACAGACCACCTGTATCACTCTGGGGGCACAGGCATCACTTCTGTATGCTTAGAATCCATGGTTCCAGTAGAGATTAATACCTTTCATTTTCATTTGAAATTTACTTTCAGATAGTACTGACAATAAATCCAAATGAGGTTCTGTAGTCTTGGGCAGATAATAAGGTGTTTTGCCAACATAACGAAGTAAAAGGTTAAAAGTAGAATGAGGGAAGAAAGTGACTTTGCTTCGTGTTACTCAAGCTGTAATTTCTCTTTTTTTTTTTCAGATCCTCATTTCGGCAGATGATGAAATGGAGGAATCTGATGCTGAGGAAGACCTGCGCAGACTGACCAACTTAAAGCCCATCAAGAAAAAGAAGCATCGTTTTGGTCTGCCTGTATGACACATTCCCTGACCTGTGTATTTGCAGGCGTCATGGCAAAAACTTCTCAGTCAGTGGGTTTCAAGGCTGCAATTGCATCTCCCTTTTCATACAGACTGACTCCAAAACAGAGTCTGCCAACAGAATGCAAACAGTTGGAAGACTTCCAGTCCAGTTGCACTACAGACACACTGACCAATTATGCAAGAATGTCTCTTCATCATGTGTGAAAGCACAGTGTTATTGAGGACTAGTCACTAAAGGGATTTGTATCTGACATTTCAGAGAAGATCACAGAAAACAGATACAGGAATCTTTCATTTATGGTTTCTGAATGATGCAGTTTAAGATGTTCTCAAAAAAACAGGCATCAGAATCAACTAAGTTAACAGAGTATGTTTTGCTACTAAAACTGGCTTTTCAGCATAATTCCTAGAGCAGAATAGTTTATGGTTACAAGCTGTAACTTAATGTTATTTTTTTAAGTACAAAATGTTTACTTGCTACAAGGTACCTATGGAACTAATAGGTGGAACAAAGATTTTTTTTCCAGGTCTCCTCAAACCTATTTGACTATTTTATATTTAAGTTATATTTTCATACAGTTGTATTTAAAGATTCTCTTTGGTAGAGAAAACATTGCAGTTCTCTCTCTCTTTTTTTTTTTCTTTTTTTTTTTTTTTTCCTGCAGAAAGGGTCAAAAGATTTGTCATGAGAATCCTACCTGTCCTTGTCTCCTGGTTCAAGATAAAGGGTTTGCAAAGGGATAAGCTCTCTATTAGTGCTGCAGTCACCAAATATTCCTAAAAATGCGGTGAAAAAATTGAATTGCAGTGAAAAAATTATGAACACATAATTTAGAAATGCCTTTTTCCAATAGGAGGTGTTATCTGCAGATTGGACAGACATGCACTTTAGCATATAACAAAGCATCTTTTGTGGTAGGTTGCTTGTGTGTGAAAGGAATATCTAGGGATGACTTCAGTTCTTCTACTTCTTAAGAACCTGAGTGTCTCTCGTGAGTACCTCTCAAATAATCTGAGAAAGATGGAAGATTTCTTCTGCTTTTCCTTATTTAGGGGCTTCCTTGCCAGACTTTGATCTCATTGGAATAGCTGAGCTGTGATATTGCAGATAATTCTGTTCCTGCTCGTTCTTTGGTGGAACAGCAACCTTCGGTTTAATGTGCTTTCTTTTTCTCCCCTCAAAGATTGTATTTCTCATGTTTGATTTCCTAAAAATCTGCCCATACCATTAAAAAAAAAGAGAGGTATAATAGTTATTGCATCTGCTGCAGAAATCCTGCAACTCTCAGTGTCTTTCCGCTGATAATTGAAACTGAGCTGATCTTAAACTTAGCAGATGTGTTTTTGGTGGCATCCTTTTGCTTTGCATATTTTGTAAAGGGTGGTTACTCTTTCAGACGGATTTCTTTGATTACTTAAACCTTGTGTAGGATAGGGCAACATGTCAAAAGAGGTGACAACAAAAGTTAATTGCAAGTGTGTTGTAGTATCTGGACACCAGAAACGTTCCAAGCCTTAAACCAAACTGTTTCGTGCGAAAACTGCTCAGAACTTTTTAAGATTTTTTACATTTTTTATAGATTTACTAGGTCTTAATGTGCTATGTTATCCAGACCAATTAAATGGGGTTCTTGGGCCTTAGTAAGTGTTGAACTGTGCACTCCCTTTTTGCTCTTTACTTTTCCAGCATTCCTTTCCACTRTGTGGCTGTGAAGGCAACTAAAATGCGCCCTGACTTCAGGTGCCACCTCAGGGTGGCCAGCTGACAGAGAGGGACATTTTAGCAAGCCCAACATATGAGAGTTTAGTTGAGCCACTGACCTCTGTTACTGTGCACTGAATTAACTGCAATAAGCTTAAATACTAGTGTTTCTTTTAGGCTGAAACTAGATATTAATGGCAAGGGATGCTTGTCTGAGTTGCTCTGAAATGGGAGAGAAGGGGCAGGAGGATGGGGACGTGTCCCTGATCAGTGTTGCCTCAGTTTTAGGCTTTTTTTTTCCTTATTCCATTGATTATGTGACTTGCATCTTCTCTTAAGTATTTATCACGGGGCAGGCTCATATCTCCCCAAGCGCAGTGCTCCAAGGAATTCATTTTCATTAATGGAATAGTCTCATACAGCTTACTATTCCAAAGGGATTTAAGAGTCAGGACTTGTGCCTGTCACAAGCAGCAGTTGATGTTTTGTTTTATTTTACTGTTYTAGCATAGGATTTGTTCTACTTCACATAGTGGAATTAAACTGCCACGTGCTGCGWGCTTCTCTGCAGCCACTGCTGCCGTGTCCGTCACCAGAGGTGATGAGCAGCGCGCACAAATTGAACTGCACAAGCTTTCATTTTACCTTCCTTTTCCCATCTCTGGTTATTTAGATTATGAAAATGATTTCTCTTCCTAGCCTCGTGTTTAGTCTGTGAAATGTCAGTATGAAATTATGGCCTTAATCATGTGAAATGTTTGTTTTGAGCAGACCTCGAACTTCTTGACCAAGTACAAAGCAGTAGAAGGCACTGAGGAGCAGTTTCTTGGAGGTGGTTATAGCAGAGTTGTAAGAAAGCCTAATTTTTCCTGTCTGATGTGCTTAAATATCAGTTGTCTGGGGATTTTAWTATGCCTCACCAAATGGCAGTAAAAGCACTATGAACCAAAAAGAAATATTCTAACTACCACAGTAATAGCAGAGGAGCATATCTCCACAGGGGAAAAAAAACAACTCTTTTTCTTCTAGCATAAAAAGAAATATTTTCAGCTTCAACCAAATAACAAAACCTTGTGTTTTTATTCTATTCAGTTTTTGTTTTAATGTGAAAAAGACACGGAAATGTAAAAGGGGGCAGGTTGCCCCTTTGTAAGGTGGGAATTATATAAGGGCTGGATATCCGAATGCTTGCAGTAGGTGCAGGATTGTATGAATTGGTCTGAGGAGCTTGTAGGTTGGGAAGGGAAACCTCTGCCTTGTGCTTTACTGTGTCTTACTGCTCAGTATCAGCTGTTGGTAGCACAGTCTGAAATAATTCTTTTCATAAAGAGTTGACCTGATAATATTACAGGACGGTGACATTTCTGTTACCCTCACATTAGCCCTCTAAGTTACTTACTGATCAATGTACATCAGGACAACTCATTGCAAAGATGAAATTCAGACTGAGCTTAGGAAAAAAAAAAAAAAGGAAAAAGTGATTCTGTTGTTTCTTTAATGAAAATAAGCTATGGAGTGTACCCCAAAGTAAGAGAAAGGGGCTGTAACGTACCGAAGAGATGCAGAAATACTGGTGGGGATCAAGTTTAGCCTGTGCGGTCAACCTGCATGTTTTAACTGTTCTAGTATCTGGCCTGTGACACATCTGTGTAAATCTAAAAGCACTAGTGTTATCTAATACGTGGTTTTAAAATTCCAGCTTTAATATGTTCAGCTCCCCTGGTCTTTCTTTTGGTAGGTGAAACGCTGCATATTGGCGTTGCTAACTCAAACMTAGCTTTTCTTCAGGGAAAACTCAAACTGAGTTGCAGTTAGAGCAATGCGAAGTGCACGTGCCGACCTCCGGCTGGTGTCTGCACCCAGCACAACCAGTCCTCGCTGGCACCCATGCTGCTGGGAGCTGAGCGTCACGAGGGGTTTCTGCCCCCGTGCACCACTAACCTGCCTGGGCAACTTCGCTGTGCTTTTATTCCTCTTTTTTTTCCAAGGGAAAACAGGGACGAAGGTGAACAAATCCAGGCACATCAGGTCAGAGGGAGATCTGCAGCATCTGGTCAGAGGGAGATCTGCAGCATAAGCGTGTAAACTTTTTTTTTTGTTTCCATAAAGGTATTTCGAGTTTCTAGTTCAGTTACTGAAAGTGACTGCTGTGGTTTTACAACGTAAAACTGCAGTGCCTTTAAAAAAGGGACTCTTTTGTAGGTGTGTTTGTCTTGCGTGGGTATCCGTCCCCAGTTGAATGTTGGGTTTGTTTGTCAGTCAATTCCAAGTAGAGCCTGTGCGAGCGACACCGCCAGCCGTGTTCTGCTGCCCTCTGTTTGGACCATCCTGTTGAAATCAGTGGTGTTACCCTGAACTTCTGAGGGTATCTGATGTAATGACGTTGTATAATGGTTTACAATAAAGTTTGGCTTATTACGGATTCGTACACTTGTTTTTTGCCCCCTCTCTTTAAAAGTGAATGTGCCTCGGTGTTCGTCATGTGCTGCTGCATGCAGCAGGTTGTGCTACTGGAGGTCAACCTCAGAACTCAAGATTTAATTTTTTGCACTTCTAGGTGGTGTAAATTTTGCTGTATTCCTATTCCTTAACAGCAGATCTGGGTCTAGAAGAAGGCTCCCGCWACCATTGGGGAGCAGATGTTGTTTGCAACTAAAGAATCCTTCAAAGCTGCTCSCAAATTTGTCCCCATTTCCTGAGGATGCTCAGGGCATGCACGTGGAGAGTAGGTACCTGCATTTTCATACTGAAAATAAACCCTAAATGTGCAGCCGGAGAACACCTGAGGTATAACAAGAATGTCTAAATTTGCCTCCAAAACTGCAAAGTGCACTGCGGTTAGAGCCGATACGCAGCAAAGGGGTTTCCACATCTTATGTCCCGGGGGAAGGCAGSAGAGGGCTAATTGCAATAGTGTTAATAGCCACTGTGGTTGTGCTTATTCCTCAGCGTTTAGGAAAGGCAGTTTAATGAAAGGGAACAGAATTGCCTGCGCTATGGATGATGCCTTAGAGAAACTTGGAGATAAGCTGCCTGCCTCTGCGGATGCCTTGTCACCCACTCCAAATGGCATATAAGGTATGGGGATTTAACTGTATAAATTATATTGCCACGAAAGCATAAGTTTTATTATTTTTGAGATGAGGAAGGTGCAGCACCAGTGAAATGAAGGAGCTTTAAAAGCTCAAGGGAGCAAAGTAGCTCTGTTCTGAGTTCTAAGTGCTCACTTGAAACATGCAAGCTATGATCTTCCTACTGTAACAGCATCAGAAAGGTGATGCTTATGGCTATAGATAGAGAGGCATTACTTTTGCCTAGTGAAGAAAATCATTTTCCCTAAAGTTGCCTATATTTTTTGATACTGTTTTGTTAGTCTGAGGGTTTCACCAGAAACTTTTCCTCTTGTTTTCAAAGCCACAGATTTAAAATAGAAACTCAACACCAAGAGAGCTGGCTAAGTGTATAATATCCAAACTGCTCCTAAATCTTGCAAAAATACTTTTAATACTTTTAATAGTAATTGAAGGATAGGAATAGAAAAGCATGTTTTTAGGCCTGGGCAGAGGTCAGCTGGAAAGCCAAAAGGGACACTCGAGGGCCTTGGGATGGCCAACCCAAAAATCACAGTTCTTCAATCGTAGAGGTCTAATGCTACGCTACTGTGGTCATGTTTTTAGAAAGAAAAATAGTTTAACTTTGCCTCCTGTGCTTCTCTCTGTAGATGAACCAAAACACAGACAGAGCTTGAGAAAGTCCTGAGGAACATTTCTAGCYCTGCAACGGTCGATATTCCTATTAAAAGGCGTCTGGAGGCATGGCAAGTTTACCTTTCCCATATTTAAAAACAAGAAAAACTAGAACTCCCATTAGTTTGTTTTTTTAGGTGTTTCCTGTAGTCACAGAAGTTGATTTTTTTTTAAATGATGTAAAGAATTTATAAGATAGTAAAAAAAAAAAAAAAAAAAGTAATAATAAAAGGGGTGGGTGGAAAGCCCCTTTAATCTCCCTTTAATCACAATTAAAAGCCTTAGAGTTTCTTTTTCTTAATAAAGAAAATATACGGGGGAAAAACTTAAATTTTTGAGATGATTATAGTATTATAAGTGCATATATTGAGGGCACTGACTTTGAATAAGCCATTCCTGTGCCCGCATGGGTGAACTGATTAAGTTCTCTCCCACAGCTCTAAGTAGAAAGTGATTTTCTCCTACGTGTGCACAGGCTGACATCAGAGTGAACTCAGAGGCAGAACTATAAGGGTGAAATTGTGCCTTTTAGTAATGATCCAAAGCACACACAGAACTATAGCACTCAACACCCGATGCAAATGACATTAGGGAGGACGCAGTTACGCGTTTCCAGTCCATATGATGCACCTAAGGTTGACAGAACGTGGGCTTTTTTGTACAGGAAAAGAGGCACCCTGCTCTTGTCCTCCCGTCCCGAGGCGGTTTTGTGTCTGGGACAAAGCTTTGCCTTTTAGAGTTATAAATAGAGCCCCCGCGGGCACCCCGGCCGGCATCTCCGCAGCGGAGCCGCGCGGGCTCAGCTGTCTCGCCGAGCTGCAGCCACCTCCTAAATCCCGCGCACGAGTCATCCCTAAGAATAAACCTCCCGGGAACAACAGCCCGCGTCAACGGGAAGAGCCTGGGCTCTGCTTTGGGAAAGTGACCCAGCTCACGACTCCCCGCTAGGTGCTCTATATAAGCCCAGGAAAACAACAGGCGCCGAGGCCAGCGGAGCGAAGCCGGGGAACATCCCGCGGGAAGGATTCCGGGAGCGCTGCCGTTATGTCACAGGTATGGGGAACACCCYGGAGACCCGGCAAATCCCCTGCTGCTGCAGGTGGTTTGCACCAAGGGCTCGTTATTCTCATTAACTGGGGAATTCTGCTCTCAATCTAGTTGACCTGTCMTTATTTTGAAGTGCTTAAGCACTTTGTCTACAGTGTTTAACGAGTCGGTCGTGATGAGGGATTATTTGCAGAAGAAAGCAAACAGCTGCCCTCTGCATAGCTGATTAGCTTAGCCTTTAATATTCTGGCTTACCATAAATGTCATAGGAAAGGAGGAAATATTTGTATTGCCCTAGTTTATAGTATTTCTCTGTAGGAATGTTTTCTGCTTTTCCAGCACACTTTCTCTGGCCAAGATTTGAAATTCTTGAGGAATATACCCAAATTGACAGTAGCTTTGAAAGGATGTGGTATTTTGAAACACGGTATCTCTCCTTTAAAGTAAATCTTAACCTAATAATACGTAGAGAAAAAAGGGGAGTGGGTACGACTGGAAATTACAACTATTAAGATGAAATACCGAAGACTGAAATTTTGTGCTAGAAAATTATCATGTTCAATTTGTAACTAATAGTTTGGCTTTCCACGCTCTCTAATTTTCGAAGCGATCCTACAAAAACAAATCCATCTCTGTTTTTTTTGCCTTGCTCCTTGAACACAAGTTCCACCTGCCCCACACAGCCCTCTTCATGGTGCGAGTTTTGTGCAGTGGGTGAATAACAGCGTAGGGACAGCAGGGAGGAGAGGGATCCTTTGAAGCCGCTTCTGCTTCTTCTCCCCGCTCCAGATGAGAGGAGCCTGGCAAGCTCCCTCGCAGCTCCTCTAAACCACTCCTTTGCCTTGTGCCAGCAGGAGATAAAGCACAGGCGGGTCACCCTGTGTGCAGGGAAGGGCTCCCGGCAAGGCCCATTCCCAAATCCCTGGCCCTGGCAGCCGGCCTGGCCGTCACCCTCCCAAGCTCCTGACACGCTGCCCTGGGCAGTGGATTTGCTTTTTGGAACTGCATATTGGCTGGAAAATGGGCTGTAATCTAAACGGGAGAGTTTTTACCCTAAAATAGCTGGGTGCATTCACCCCTTATTCCTCGGAGCACCTGAACCGCATCTTTGGCCACCCTCCCTCCCTAAAAGCTGCTTTGTCCTGTTGGGAAAAAAGCCTGGAAGTTACAGCCTCCCATCAGAGCAAGTTAAAGGATTTAGCAGGTGCCTGGTGCCTTATTCCTGATAAGGAAACAAGTTGCTTCCCTGCTTGTGCTGGGCTGCTCCCAGGCTGTGTCGGGTTGGAGATGCGGGGAATCGGCTCCATCGCGTACCGGTTCCCCCCGGAGCCCTGCGGATGGACCTGGAGAGCAGCCACGTGGGGAAGGAGCCAAGTGACCCAAGACGGTTATGAATTCAGCAGAGTTTTGCAGCAGCCCTCTCCCCTGCAGCCCTTTCTGTGGCTCTTTGGAGGGTGTTTTTCCCTAGAGGTCTTGCGAAAGGCTTGTTTCCCACAGCACATGGAGATGGTGCTGACAGCCGTCTATTTTTGAGTGTTTTGGGGAGTTTATAGCCAGTAGGAAACGTGTGGAACCCTCCAGTGCAGCCRCCTTCCTCTGCCAGGAGCTGTGCTTGCATAAGCTCCCTTGAAGTTACAGTCAAGCCTATAGGTCTGACTCCTTGAGCCACACAGCTGTGTTTAGCTTTGCAAGTACTGGCCTAGGAATGTGTAGGTAGGATCCATCACTACCAAAATGCAAGCATGAGAAGCCCTATGTCTGTAGCACTGAACAAAGAGCTTTCTTGTCTGTGGTTCCATGCACAAATGTATGAAAATTGGAGTATTGGGTATTTAATCAAGTCTTTTGTGCGGATAGTTGGGGTCTGATGTTCAATGCCCTCTGCCCGCTCCTTTGAGGTTTGTGTGGTGGGACCTTGACACCCTGGCCTTGAAACACGAAACCAAAGAGGGGATATTAATAGTGCCAATTGCGGCTGTTTGATGTTGTGGATTTGAAACAGTGATTTARGGACAGGAGTAGCCTGAGATCTTTGCATGTTATCCTGATTTTCTGCTAGCAGGGTAAACTAAACTTTTTTTTTTTTTGAAAGTTTAATGCACCAGCTGATGGCCCATCTGTTTCGGCGTTAGACTTGGTTTCCTTCTGTAGTTCTGGTGTTAAAGGTGTGTTCAACACGTGCTGGTAAACAACCCTCTGAGTGTCCAGCTCTCTAAATTTAGAGGCTGAGATGGCAATGGTTGGTTCTCAAGTGTCTTTGGTGCTTTCTCTTGCCAGTTTTTCCTAGTTCAGGTGTGATAAATAACTGGGGGTCAACCTTATCCCAATGAGTAGAAACAAAATAATTTAATAATGAACATATAGGACTTTTCAGCTGTTTTTGATCTTCCTGAACATCAAACAGATTATTTTTTAATTAGCACTCCATTAACACCTGCGCACTGAGCATCTGTGTAGGATTTGCTTCTCCTGGTTTGCAGTTGTGCTGTTGTAGAGCTGTATAAGGGGCCAAGTGCTGCATGTGTAATCCCAAAGATTAATTAGATGGGCTAATGAATTAGCAACTCTGAGGTTTGTAGCCTTGGTCTAATGCAGCTTTATTTCCTATGTTTCTAAACATGAAATACTGACATACTGTGTGATGATACRTGTGAAATACATCTTTCTTAGCCGACCCCTGTGAAGAAGAAGCGTCCTCCAGTGAAGGAGGAAGATCTCAAAGGAGCCAGAGGAAACCTTTCCAAAAACCAGGAAATTAAATCCAAAACCTACCAAGTCATGAAGCAGTGCGGTAAGTCATTCTTCCCTACTAGAAACAATTAAGCAATCTTCCAAAGTAGATCATTAACTTAATTTCTACTTTCAGCTGAAACAACAGCCATGTTCACTTACCCTTGCCTGGCTGCGAGGGCTCTGGAACCCATGATCAGCCTGTTTTGATTCTCACCAATAGGTGCCAACAGGGCTCGGCTTTAAATGGTCTTTCTTCCTGACTCAGCTTTACAAAGCGGGAGGTTGAGCCCTGGCTTTGCCTTCTGAGCCAGAGTTCAGAGCAAGTTCTGGTTATATGGCCCATGTTGATGAGTAGTTGAAGATCTGGAGGCCTGTGGAGATCAGGCATTTCTGGCCTCTTTGGTGGATGAGTTTTACATGTCTGAGATGAAACCCCTTGGGGACAATAAAAGGCAGAAGGTGAGAGAGGACTTAAAAACTGACCATTCTCTGAAGAACCTAAACCCTTTTTCCAGCATTGCATTCTGAACATCAAACTGGTTTCCAGCTTTCTAAAACACCTGCAGGAACGACCCTGCCTTGAGGGGCCACTCAGTGGTAGTGACTGATGTTAACTGCCCTAGTTCTGTCTGCTTCAAAATTGACAACCTCTTTTTCTACTTTTCTTTTTCAAGAGCAAATGGGCTCAGTGGCACCTTCCATATTCAGCCGAGATCGGACCGGGGGTGAAACAGTCTTTGAGAAGCCTAAAGAAGAGCCGGCCAAGAGCGTCTTTGGCTGACAGCTGAGCTGCATGTGCCCCGCTTGGGTCACTGTTACAACAGTTATCTAGATTGCTTTAAACTCACTGCAGAGCTAAGTAGTTAATTTCTACTCTTAAGCCATTAAATAGGGGAAGGACTTGTGTCTAAGGGTACAACTTTTTATTTTTTATTATGTTTTCTATGTGTTGGATGGTGTTTGTTGTGATGGTTTAATGAAAAGAGATCAGGCACAGCTTGGCATGCGGTAGTGACCGATTTGAGCTTATGCTTAAGGGAATTCTGTGGACTTTTTGGCATTAAAGCTATGATCTAGTCTAACTGTCATATGCAAAGAATAAATATTYGGAAGATGTGGTTTCAAGTGTCTGTGCTATTTCTTCAAACTGCTTTTGCAAACAAGGAGACAAGAGGAGCCAGATTGTAGAGGTAACAAAAGTCTGGAGATGTTTAAAATCTCTCCTCAGCCATAGACCTCCCTGTCTAACGTGCTCTGGTTCCCTGCTCGCTGGGAAAATAGATTTCAGTTCCTTGCATGTCTGAATTGCAATRAGGTCTCTGAAACTGTAGAAGGGGGAACAGAGCACCTGAAAACACAGGAGTACCTGATCAGTTTTAGCATTACTTAAAAACTAAAATGAGAGAGACATAACTGTTTGAAAGTTTTTCAGCAAATCTTTTCCCTTCCCCTTTGCAGTGCTACCCTCTTTAAAAAAGAAAAACAAAACAAAAACCCTCTCCCATCCCCCTGAAAATATTAAAGCCCTATTTTGAAAAAACATGTCATCAGATTSCCATGGCAGCTTTGCTTCTCTGGTTTAAATTCTTTCATGGAAAATTCCAACACCCAGTGCCCTGAGGGGCTCTGCCAAGGACATGACGGAGTACTCCAGAGATTTTACATGACGGCTACTCTTCTCCACATCCATCCCAGAAAGCGCAATCCTGCAGCGTGATCCAGAAGTCCCAGTCATCCCAGGGAAGAGCTGGGGCTGCTTCAGCAAGGTCTGGGCACCATCCCACACTGTAAGTACCTGCCACGTGTCCTGTGGGGCCAGGGCTGGACCAGGGCTGCAGCAATCGCACACRGAGGGACAAAACCCAAGCCATGATCCAGTCCCGCTAGAAATAAGGTGAGACACAAACCATGTGAGGAGCAGCCCTGTCCCATTGGACTATAGAGTCTCCTTACAAAATAAAACTCCTTCAGATTGCCTTTTTTTTAATAACAATATTTCTTTACATGCGTTGATTTATTAAACATCGAACCTATTTTTCCTCTAGGTTATAAGTCAGAATTKATCCCCTGAGCTGGATCTTTTGATTAAAACGTGAATAATCCGCTGCTTTATGGACATCTACGGCAGTTCCTGGAAACTCTGAGTTCGTGGTGAAACATTTGGGAACATTAAGGTAGGTGCCACTTCTACTTAAACACCAGTTTTAGTTTTGTATAGCCCAGAGCTAGTTAAGGGGGGAGAGTTATATTAAAGTTCTCTGAGTAAGCGAGCAATGCGCAGAATTTCTTCCCTGCCTCTTGTATCCCAAACACGTAATGCCTAAAACTTGCTGCTTTCTATGGAGATTGCAGAAAGGCCTGGGGAAACAAAAGCAGACAGCACATGCTGTGTAGCTGCACATGCAATAGTCAAGTCCTTGAGCTTTAACAAGTGCTTTCCTAAAGAAAAATATCCTTAAAGATATCCCTGGTGCATTGCCATTCTTCTRAGGGCACCCGTTTGTCCATATTTATAAATATTACTGACAAAATTAGTCTAAGTGTCACTGATATATAACCTTTGCTGGCAAGAGATGCCTGAGCTGGGGTTTAGCAAAGCCTCRGCAGCTGCTCGGCAGCTTCCCAAAGCAAACACGGAGCCACTCAGGGCTCAGGAGCCAAAATCCTGATTGGGATGAAGGAAAACATCGCACTGTGTCCTCCTTTTCAGAGCTCCTCTGCCTCCTCTTCAGCTTTCTCAGGAGAAGACCCATCTCCGTGGGGCATTTCATACCCCTGCAACCCTGGAAGTCCCAACTAACAGCTTAAACTTAAACTAAAAAAAAAAGGTAAAGGATTTCACCCATTTTGCCCATTTTTGCTTCCAGGGCTATTTGTTGCAGTGAAGAATAATTTACTTCAACTATTTACTTGCACGTGCATCCCAGRCACTCTAGGGAAGCAAGAGGGGAGGTACCAGCGGTGTGGAATTTTGCTAACAGCTTTATTTAGAGGATGTCTTTAGGCTCAATTATTTATGGTGCTTTCCAGTAAGCACTAACTACCAGGAATCTTTTAAGTTCTTTTTTCTTTCTTTGTTAAAGTAGAGCTCATTTGAGAAAATGCATTGGAGCCCCATTCAGGACTGCCYTGTGCCCGGTGTTACAGGAGATGCTTCCCATTAGGAAAATGGTGAAAAAAGCTGCCTGTAAAGGACTGTTGAGAGCAGGGGGTGCAGGGGACCCCTGTTAGAGCCTGTTCCCTCCCATGGGCTGCCAGGACTGATGTGGTGATGGAGAAACCTGGGGAGCCCTGGCTTTGTGCAGCTAAAACGCCTGTTTCATACCCAACTTTTAAATATACGGATTAAAAAACAAGCACTAGATCCACTTCATTAAAACTAAAGTGTTGGTAGTTGGTTCTCTCAGGCCATAAATCTTCTCTTTTAGGGATTAAAGCCCTTCAAAAGATACGTAAATTAATTCAGTGTTTATCAATTGTCAATTTATCTCCRAAAAGATATATATTTGTATTCTCTCTCATAAATGATACATTGCTTGCAAGCAGTGCAAAGGGTTTACTTGCGAGTAGGGCAGTTTATTTAAGGAGTTACTGAGAATCAAGCAGTGCTCAACAGGGTGTTTTATAGTAAATATTCAAAGCTCTGTTGAAGTGATAATTTATCAAGTGCTGTGTTAACGTCTTCGTGGCAAATGAGAGGCCAAAGGCTCCCAGAAACCACAGAAACATCTCCAAAATATCCATGAGGCAGACAGGGATGCATGGATTTCCCTGCCGCTTCAAGCAGGCTGCTGCAGCTTCCTGAGACAGGGCAGTATTTTGGGAATAGCATTGCTAGGGCTTTGGGAAGGAAAAATGGGAAAACATCACGGTGATGGCGGCCAGCAAGGCCAGTTTTGAGCCAGCTTGGAGGAATTGTGGAAGCAGCACTTTGGAAAATGCAGGATATCAGTTAAAGTGAAGCCCAAGCAGGTGGCCAAGCTCTGAGCTACAGGCCCAGGACATGTTATTTTTCCTGTCCAGTTATTTCCATCAGAGGTGGCCCTTGGGAATACAGCAAGGATAGAGTTCCCTGAGGTTCTTGTTTCCCACTTTGTCCACAATAATGCCTAGGAAAATTATTATTTCTCCACAGTGTGAAATGAGATGGACATTGCAATATACTACCATACTCAGCTGGAGGAACATTTTTTAAGTAGTCCCACTTGCTCCTCTAGTTAGGAAAAGTCCCTAAGCACCAAAGGAGGGAGCATGTGCTTTAGGATACAGCATTAGCTGTAAATATTTCCGTATAAAAGCAGGATGTTTTAACGGAATCTCTCTTTGCAGGGCTACGAGCCGACTCTTGAGCAGCAGCAAGCTCAGGAGCACCTTTTGGTGTGCCCCTGGGGTGGAAACATTTCTGTAATGTCGATGTAAAGGTGGTGAAAGCAGCAGCCGTGCAGGTAAAAGCAGGTGCAGACACAAAAATTAATGAAATCACCAGCTCCAAAACCTCGTATGGATTTTACATGTCCTTGTCAGCTCCACATTTCTCAAGTGCTTGAGGTAAAGCCCTCATGCCCTTTCAAACTGTTGCCATTAACAGATTGGAGATTGAAGCATGCAGCAGTTCAACCTGCACACACAACTGGTCATCCTCCTGCATGTTGTTTTCACACACATTTTAGTGGAATTGAAGTTTAAACAGAAACATAAGGATTTCTTAAGCCAAGGCTTTCACCAAACATGAAAATTCTAACATTTAAGAGCAGACATCTGATGGAATAATAAACTCACCAAGGTCCAATTTGCGACTGTGTTTAACATGTCAATATTAAGTTTCTGGGTTTCCTCTCAAAGCCTGCATAACATCCCCAAGTGCAGGTTACTCATTAACTGATTAAGATAAACGACGTTTTCATTTTCAGATCAGGTCTTCCCAAAATGGAGAGAACGTTGCTCGCCTTGCTGGTCTTCTCCTCGCTTGCAGCACTCGCRGTCACCATCACCCCAAAGGTATTTGCTGTGCTTTTTGTAACACCCTTTGCTTGCTCATCTGCCTGCACCACACACACATGTGTCGATGGCAGCGGCAGAGCCGTTCTCAGCAGAGATAATTCCTGGTAATTCCTGTGGTACCCACACGGCATCGGGCGCCCGATCCGGAGGTTCAGGATTGGGGTTAGAGCAGGGGCAAACAGAGCACATAGGAAGATGCAGATTTGTCTCACCACCCTCTTTCGTAGAGGTATAAAATACCAAATTGAGAGACCCTCGAGGTCACCYCTTGAAGACTTTGGGTCTGGGCATGGCCGAATGGCATCAAGATTGAACGAGAGCCATTGAAATGCCAGGTTATTTTGGACAGGCACTGAGGGGTTTACATGGAACGTCAAGGAGAGGCAAGGCAGTGATTTGCACTGCCAGAAAGAGCAAACTGGGCATTTGGCAGCATCGCAGGATGGGACCTGGTTGGTGTTGGAGAAGCAGAGCAAGCCCCACGGTTGGAGGGTTTTATTTCCACGATGCCCATGCAGAACAGGGTGCGAGGGCACAAATGAGTCCCCACTGGTTTCCAGTAGCTGCACTCTGCTCCTTGAGGGCACCGCAGGGCCCCTTGCCCAGCAGTGCCACTGGCAGGGACCGTCCCACCATCCCGTGTTCCCGCCGCGCGTCCTGGCCGCATCTTCCAGGCGGGATTGATGCTGGCCACGCTCCTCCCCTGCCGCAGGGATGCTCCGGGCTGCCCCATTGGAGCTGCAGCCGCTGCTAGTCACTGTCCCCGGAGAGTGGGTACCAGAATCACTGTGATCCCAATCCTATTCCCCACTCTGAAATTGTTTTCCTTGACAAGTATCTTTGTCCTTTTACACCGTTTTTTTTCCRGAAATTATCCAGTGTCAGGAGCTGGACATAATCTGCCTATTTCTAATGAAAAAAGAAACAACTATTATTCCTACAGAGATGGCTCTTGTGGTGGTACCTGGCCACTGAGCTGCAGTCCCCCATGCACAGGAGGGCCCTGTTTAAGCAATTAAATTTCTGAATTTAGGTCAGTGCCTTAACTGAGAAGACACTGGATGCTCCTTAAGTTAAGGAGATAAATTACTAAAAAAAAAAAATAAAAAAAAAAAAAAACACTGGATGCTCCTTAAGTTAAGGAGATAAATTACTAAAAAAAAAAAATAAAAATAAAAATCAATCAGCCATTTGAAAGATTTGTGAGTCTGAAAAAAAAAAAACAGAAGTTGATCTGTTTTGATACTGAGCTCTTATATTTTGATTAATTATTGGACTGCTGTGAGGTTGCTGATGTCCCGACCAACCTTTTGTACCGGCTGCTTGGGGTCTGAAACGGAAATCATGAATGAGTAAGTGGGTGTGGAGAGAAGCTYGAGAAGATGCTGTGGGAAGACCATGGTTCTCCAGGGGAGTTTCTGWTGGGAGGCCTGGGGCAGGGCCCTCTCTGAGCGGTGCCAGCCCCCAAAGCACCAAACCAGCAGTGCCCCAAGTGCACAAAGGGCATCCCCTGCTTGTGCAAACACGCAGGGATGGAGGCCCGCGCAGGGTGCAGCCTGCCGAGCAGCACATGTGGCCACAAGCTGCCGAGCTGGAAAACAGGCAGCAAAGTCAATAGCTGGAAGAGCAAATAAAGGGAAGCGGCCCAGGCTGCTTTCCATGGTTGCTTAAAGAGGCATTTGATTTGGGTTTTTTTTGCAGTTTGTCTTAGGAGAGGAATTGGTGACACGGTACCTGGTTAGCAGAGTAACATGAGGAGGTTGCAGAACAAGGCTCAGCAACAGCCTGTGGGACAAGAGAATAGGTAGATTTAGCTGCTGTTTGGCTGGACAGGGATGTGGTCATTGTGCAGAAGGTACAAGTGAGAGGCCAGTCCCACCACAGGTGTCCCCMGAGCAGAGCTTCTGCCTGCTCATTGCAGAGCACACGGTCCTGAACATGGTGCCTTCCATGAATCCCTATTTAATTTAGATCCCTAAATGATTTCATTTTTGAGACCTTTCCAATAACAGCACCTCTCACCTTGGTAAGGACCACCAGGTGGTTATAGTTGGTCTTTTAGTTTTAATTTCCACGTTTTCCTTTCTTCCAGCATGGCATCGAGATCTACAGCCTCCGCGTGGACTGCAAAGTCACGTCCCGATTTGCTCACACCGTCATCACCAGCAAAATCGTCAACCGGGCAAATGAATCCAAGGAGGCGACCTTTGAAGTGGAGCTGCCCAAGACTGCCTTCATCTCCAACTTCTCCATGTAGGACAAACCCTTTTCCTATGGTGTTGGCAAGGCAGCCCTGGGGTGGAGGGATGCTCATTCCTCTTCTGAGGAGCTACACAAGAGTCTAGGCCCTCTTGGTGGTGGCATCTCCAAGYGATGGAGGACACGGAGGGATGGGGATTTTCTCTGTTTCTGCCCTGAAAGCCACAAGATACCAGGTTCCTCTTGTTTCTTCCAGATTCCCTCTAGTATTAATTCAATTTTGTGGAAAACAGGTCCATCGACGGCAAAGTGTACCCAGGGATCATAAAGGAGAAGGCATCTGCTCAGCAGCAGTACGACGCTGCAGTCTCGCAGGGGCAAAGCGCTGGCCTCGTGAAGTAAGCTGCACACTCCTAAACCTTCCCATCTGTCCGAGTCAAACCCTGAAGCCACCCTCTGTGTGGGAYCAATGGAAAAAGCAGCTTGGGCTGCAGGATCAATGGAAAAAGCACCTTGGGAGAGGTGGCAGGGCCAGGGAAGCTTGGCCGGACAAATGCCCAGTGTGGGGCCGTGGTGGGAGCTGGTTGGTGACTGAGGGACACGCAGGGACCAGGCAGGACCTTGGGTGGCCTGGGACAGCGTGTCTGAGTCTACAGCCAGGAGCATGGGGGAAATGCCTCCCTCTAGCACTAGCTTTTAGCTGAAACAGCCTGTTGAACCCTGAATAACAATAATTCGTTCCAGCCAAGTACAATTAAGAGTCAACTGGGCTTAAAAGCAATAGCAAGAGCAGTCCTTGTTCTGCCATCAGGTTGARCGCTCTGCTCTGCTCCTCCGTTAACAACTCATTTCACAGAAATCTAAATAATAGAGGCAACAACTTATTTATATCAATCTGCATCCATCCATCCATCCAACCATGTCATTTATATCTAACCCCTCAATGGGCTTTGCTGGGACTTACTGTGCTCAATTATTTAACCTGATTCCCCACTAAGGTAGATGACTTTGCCACTTGAGCATCACTYGTTAGACATGCTCAAGTAACATGTCAAATATGAGACATATTTGATATGGGACATATTGAATCCCATATGGATTTCTGCTACAAACCTCAGCTTGCACATGCAGCAGCTATGGCACACGTAGCTTTAGTTGTAACCTGCAATATCTCCTGCAACGTGAAACTGCTGCTTTGTGAGCAAGAAGRTGCTCTCCCCTTGCTTCTCCCTTGCACTGCAGGAGGTGAAACTCTGTTTTGTCTCACAGGATCACGGGGAGGAAACTGGAGCAGTTCCAGGTGTCGGTTAGCGTCGCAGCGGGCAGCAAGGTCACCTTTGAGCTGACCTACGAGGAGCTGCTGAAGCGGCAGCTGGGCAAGTACGAGCTGCTGCTCAAGGTCAGGCCCAAGCAGCTTGTTCAGCACTTCCAGGTGAGTGGTCCCTGAGGCCTGGGGCCTTGCAGCCCATCTCGGGCAGCCTCCTCCGGGCTCACGAAGGCTTCTCCTGCACCAGATCGACGTGCACATCTTYGAGCCCCAAGGCATTCGCTTCCTGGAGACCGACAGCACGTTCCTGACAAACGAGTTAACGGAGGCGCTCACGAAAGTGCAAAACGAAACCAAGGTAGAAGAGCTGCTGCTGGTTGTGCCTCGCAGTTTGGGGCACCCCTGCTTTGCTCTGAGCTGTGGGTTTTGCCTCCTTGCAGGCTCATATTCTGTTCAAGCCWACGGTAGACCAGCAAAAAAATCCTGATGTGGGTGAGACCCTCCTCGATGGTGACTTCATTGTACGGTATGACGTTGAGAGAGATGCGACTGCAGGTGATATACAGGTAAAAAAAAAAGGATTAAAAATAAACCTCTTTGACATCATGAATATGTTTTAACGTGAAGCACAGTCAGCATCACAGGTTGGGAAGACCCATGGTGAGAGAAAGAGCCATTTCCACTAATCCTACCTCGGTAGGAACTGATCATGATGTTCAGTAAAACCAACGATACACCAAAGCTGTTGCAGGAAGGGATGAGTCCTAGAAAACCAATTTTTCAAATGTTGTTTCAGTGCCAAGTCTCTCTATTTTTATTCTCCAAACTTTGGCTGTTCTAAGATGTATTGCTGCTTCTTGCAAGTGAAGCCTAGAGGAATGTGATTTATACAGCCATTAAATTCACAATTTCATTTTCTTTGGCTTTTTCCTAACCAAGACAGCTGAAAGGAGCGGGAACTTAAAAATATTTATGGTGCAATGCATATTCTAAAGAAAAAAGTGCATATGCTTTCCGTGCTGTGTCACTGAAGGAGGACACATGGATGTGCAAAAGGATGGTAGTAGCAGGCCACACATGCATATGGTATTGAGATGTATATGCATGTAATATAAAAAAGCAAACCTTAAAAAATTTAGTTAAATAGAAGTTTTGTTTTCTTTAAAGAAAATAATTCAACATTTTGATGGAAAAACAGCTCCTCTAGCCACGGTGACTTCAGTGGTCTGTATAGATCCAGAGACCCCTGATTTCCTGCCGTTCATGCTATCGGATTGTGCCACAGATTTGCACAAAAAGAGTTGTGCAGGGGCTCCATCTAGCATTTTAAACTGCTCATGCAATTCTGAAGTTAATTCAAAACGTGGGCATGTAGGACTCATAGGAAACGTCCTTCGCGTGCTCCCCCTGTAGCATCCATCACTATTGCTGAAACTGCAGTAAATCAAACACCACATCACACTTCGCCCCAGACCACATGTCACTTCCACGCATCTTCCTTTATGGAATTCCATTCCCTCAGCTCCAGGATATCTCTGCACATCTTCCTGAAGCACCAGGCTTTGAAGAAGTGGGATGAAGAAGAAGCAGGGTTAAAGTACTGATTGATACAGACCACTTACACTTTACTTGCTAATGTTAGAAAACACTTTGTCTATTAGCAAAAAATATTAACAGTAAGATATGAAATGTATTTTTATATAAGGTTTTGTTTATTTTTAGCTTGGGGTGGAAAAATGACACTAGCTTTGCTTTTGTTCCTAATCATTTTTGTTTTGATGCTCATGGATATATAAGCTCCTGCCTGCAACATATGGGAATGTAAAGCACGTATTTAAAAGTCAATCTCTTGTATTAAGTTTTGAAGGAAAGGCTGAGGCTAAAATGTATTGATTGATGAGGGACTTTGGGCTTAAAACTAGCTGCCCAGTGTCCCTTCACCAAGGGAGTGATGATCTGGCAGCCACCCCACATGGGCTGGGGAGGTGAGGACCATGTCTCCATTCTCCTGTAATTGGATTTTGAAGGGCAGTGTCACTTCCAGCTAGGTAATGTATTTTAATAGTTCTTTGACTTGGGTTTATCTAAATGACTATGGACTGCTGCTCTTGCTGTGTCAGAATATTAGGAGATTATATTTATTTATGTGCAGTGTTATGTAACTTTGTATTTCAGATCGTCAATGGGTATTTTGTGCATTATTTTGCACCCCACGAAATGCCAGTGCTTCCCAAAAACGTCGTCTTTGTGATAGATCGAAGCGGCTCTATGGCAGGCAGAAAAATCGAGCAGGTAACTTGCTTGAAGCCCTGACTTCTGCTCACACCCCTTGTGCATTTGCTCGTGGTGCTGAAGGAGCTTTGCTTTGTAACCACGTGGGGAAGTTGCTTTTGAAACACAGGCTATTCTTGTTCACAGCAGAATTTCCAGCGGTATGGAAATACATGGAAATATGAATGCACGTGTTTTAACTATTGATGATTTAAACTATGATTTAAACTATTTAAACTATTGACCAGACAATTTAAACATTGTCTCACGCGGGTGGGTAGCTTGCCTTGAGACAGAGGGCATTTCCCCACATCTTTACGCAATATTTTGCTTTCCCTTTACAAACAGACGAGGGAGGCCCTCCTGAAGATCCTGCAAGACCTGCGAGCCGAGGACCACTTCAGCTTTATCACCTTTAACAGCAAAGTCTCGGAGTGGAGGAGCTCCCTGCTGGAAGCCACGGCGGAGAACGTGGCGAGCGCGGCGGCGTTTGTGCAGACTCTCAGCGCTAGCGGAGGTACCGGGCGCTAGCTTGTGATTATGACCCTAAATACACACCCAGCAGCCTAACAAACAGTGTTTAGGAAAAAAAAAATAGATGCACTTATAGTCAGTGATCACAAAGGGGAGCGCACAATTAATTTTTGATCATTATCGGCAATGATCAAATAGAGAAGACTGGAAAAAACTTATTATGGGAATAGTGACTAGTGTCTACRTTATGATTTGCATATAAGGAGAGATGGTTACGTCCCGTCTGTGAGCTGTGTGAGCTGGAAAGTTTTATCCAAGACATTTATATCAGAAATAGTTGAATAATTTCCAAGGGACCACTTTTTTTTTCCTCTGTAACAATGGCAATTCACTCAAACTAGAAACAGTTCATGGCCACTTATTGATGACTTTATACCAGAGACCACTCGTAAATAAAACGTAAACTAAGTTATATGCCTGTGATTCTCTCCTAATGTAGTATTATAAGCTATAGCACAGAAACAAAATAGTCAAAAAAAGCATGAAGCATTTTAGCTGTTGCATTGCTCTGATTGAGTTTTATGCTTGCTTTTAAGCAGATCTGAAAGGTTATTTCTGTGTTTAACATTAAGCTGTTAATTTTCCTGTAGGTTTTCTTGTCCTGGTAGCTAGCACCAATGAAGACCACCAGTGTCTAGCTCTTTTCTTTGGCTTCTCAAATACTTAGTGCTTAAATGTTGGACTAAGAGGTGTTAGTGTGTTTGTGTAAGCATCTTCAGTGGATCTAGACAGATCGTATGAAAGGTCAGATGTTTGTGTTTGCCATCATGCAGCAGAAAGTGCTTCCCTAGCAGAACTCCACCTTTACCATTGCAATATAACCTGCCATGGTCAAGTGTGACATGCCAACCCCCTAAAAACTCACCTCTCTGAAGAATCACCCCCAGCAGCAAACTCCAAACAACCTTGCCTCTGGAAATGAAGCCAGTGATTCTTTGGGACGATTATCCTGCTTCTGGTGAGTGAAGCTGCTCCCTCCTTCCAGGCACAGACATCCAGCTGGCCCTGCTGAGAGCAGTGGACATGCTGCGTAGAGCTGAGGAGCTGCCTGAACGGAGCGTATCCATGATCATTTTGCTCACAGATGGCCAGCCCACCTCTGGTAAGTAAAACTCACCTCAGTCTTCTCCCTTCTCCTTGATTCTGCACCCTTGCAGCCCATTTTGCATCCTTAGATTCAGCCAAAAAGCTCCTTTGGCCCTTCATAATCTTTTCAACCACGTGGTACTTAGCTGTGATGATATGAGTAGAAGTAACAAGTCATGAAGGGGGAGGAGATTCCAGCAGTCAAAATACAGAGCAGCACTTTCATCTCTCCTTCAATTCAATTACCTGAACCCCTTCCTATGTATTTTAATATCTTGTTTTGAGTTATTTTAAGAGACTTTTAAGCAGCGTTTTCCTGTAAACCCTCTGCTGTTCCATGAGTATTTATTTTTTTTTTTTTCAATCACAGGTGAGACCAAGGTGGAAGTCATCCAAGAAAACATCCGGAAAGCCATCGGTGGGAACTTTGCCCTCTTCTGCCTCGGCTTTGGTTTTGATGTCAGCTATAAGTTCCTTGAGAAAATGGCCCTGAGCAACGGGGGACTCGCCCGACGTATATATGAAAATGCAGACGCAGCCCTGCAGCTCCAGGTGAGGATTAACYCTTCCTGCCTACCTCTGCTTGGGCTCATTTCAGCGAGCTGCACAGGTTGAAAAGCTTTATCTAAAACCGGTCCAAACGCAGTGAAAAAGCCCACTAGAGAAGAGGTAAGTCCCTAATTTTAACCAGATGGAAGAAAAGAACCATGAGAAGTGGTTCAGAAGAGCCACTAAACATGGGACATGCCTAAGGGGGATGCTGTGGAAGTGCTTGGATTATCCTCAGCATTTTCAGCAGTCTTATATCAATGGCCTGTCTCTGCCCTAAGAAACTTAATTCCTTTCTTTTTTTGAGGGGTTTTAGATGCTTGTGGCAATTTGCTCAATTTTGCAATTGTTTGTACTTCTCTGTGCTTCTTCTTAGGGTTTTTATCAGGAGGTGGCTACGCCAATAYTAATGCAAATTGAAATGCACTATCCAGAAAACGCCATTGAGGGGTTAACCAARAGCAATTTCAAGCTGCTTTTTGAGGGTTCTGAAATCGTGGTGTCTGGAAAAATCAGCAACGAGCTTGATCTTCTGCCAGTAGAAATTAAAGCTCAGTCAGTAAGTGTTTACCCTGCAAAATTGCGAAAGAAATGCTGTGTTTTATGGGGCAACAGGAGACTAAAACAACTTTTTCTGTTCTCTACATTTGGACRTTCAGCAGTATTTCTACTCTAGGGAAATATTTAAAAATTTGGTGAGTTTTTCTGTCTTAAATCTGCTGGARTAGAAAAAAAATTGACTATTCTCACAAATAAGCAAATATAATTTTTTATCATTTCAAACCCACGATATTTTGGTCATTTAAGCATTTTTTTAAGGAAAACTAGTTTATATTTTTAGAATAAAGCAGGAAACATGATTTTTTTTCACTTTGAGAATGTTGAAATGCAACCATGGAGCAATTTCATGCCCCCTTTTTTTCAACATTGTTTCAACTCCAGAAATGCATACCCAGAAAATCTGCATTTGATGGTTTTGTTTTGCATATTCCAGTGGGAAAACAGCTCGCCAAAAGCTTAGGCTATATTCTGGTCAAAAATAYTGCATCATGGATACTTTATAGATCACTGTGACTTCAGTCCAGCCACACAAAATAAAAATTCAAGTGATAAAACATCTGAGAAAATGACTGAATGAATCTAGCGAAGCACAGAGTGATCATTCAACGTACAGATGTGTCACCAAGTAGCTGCTGCTTTTCTTGGCTGACCTAAGAAGTCTGAACTCTAATTAAGACTGAAAATAATGGGGATTTTAATCATTATGTTCTGATGATATGTGACATAAACCCATCAATTTTTCTAAAGGGATAAATAATGAAAGATTCCTATGCTGTGAATAACAATCTTCTGCTATGTATGCTGTGGGTTGATGCATTATATGCTGATTTATTCTAAAATTTGTAAATTTAGTTGATAAAATCAAATCATATTCTTGGTGAGCACACGTTTTGAAGCACCATTCATTGTGAGTGGATGCCACAAAGGGGGTTCCTACAGGGCAGGCCAATTCTGTGGGTCAGAAGGGTGCTATGGTGCTGCAAGATGTTCTTTCAAGCCTAATAATGTGGCTATAAAAGGAGCCTATACCTATTCTTTTGATGATCAATTGTGTCCCCTTTCAGCATACGAGTGACCTGACTCTTAAAGAAGAAGCAAATGTTAAAGAGAAGGAGCAAGTATTTCAAAATCAGAGCTACATCTTTGGAAATTTCATTGAGAGACTGTGGGCTTATTTAACCATCCAGCAGCTTCTGGAAAAATCGTAAGCTAATTTCAGGTTTTGCACGATGCWTTTCTAGTTTCTGAAAGCACCCTAACCTCCTTATTCACAAATTATATGATGGGAGAATGTACAGCAACAAATAGCTTTGTCCAAAGATCTACAAATATTATCTACTGGAAGAATACAGCACTACTGTGAGATGCCTTTCAGTCTGCGAAGATTGCACCGTTAAGGAAAGAAAATAGGAAATATGTAAAATATTTTCTTCACAGCATTTCTTTGAAGCAAATGTTAATTACATTGATTGTGTTGAGCTGCTGTAAGACATCTGGCAGTATTGTCTGTAGAGRCGTGAATGGTTATAGCTAGTAAAGAAGGGCATAATAATAAGTATGTCCAGAGGGCATTTCCCAGTTCATATATCTATAACTTACATGTGTTTGCCCCGTGTATAGGCTTGGTGTTGCAAACAATTGAGCATTTCTGTGATTTCAAGCATGAGTTATCCCAGCAGAGCTACACATCCACGAGAAAAAAATCCCTGTTAAGACATAGCTAAGACATTTGGAAAAGCGACCTGTTAAGAGCTTACAGAAGCTCTTAACCTCCCACTCGCGGGCCCCACATGTCACTGCCTTGTCACTAATGTAGACTTCAGTATTTCAGCCCCGGCCGCCCAGCAGAAGGCCCTGGAGACGCGTGCCCTGGAGCTGTCCCTGCAGTACAGCTTTGTCACCCCCCTCACCTCCTTGGTGGTCACCAAACCCTCGGAGCAGCCGCAGGCAGAGCTGGCCAACAAGCCCACCGAGGCCGGTAAGCGGGACCTGGGCCACCTGCGGCTGGTGGGGACGTGCTGGGGGGAACCCAGCTGGGCCTGGAGRGTAGCGAGCAGCATCACACGCAGCCACGGAATGGCTGAGGTTGGAAGRCACCTCTGGAGATCACCAAGTCCAACCTACTTCTCCAGCAGGGACACCCAGGGCGGCATCCAGGTGGGTTTGGAGGGTCTCCAGAGAAGGAGACTCCACAGCCTCCCTGGGCAGCCTGTTTCAGGGCTCTGTCAGCCTCSTTTGGAGATGCCAGGGGCTTTTTAGAAGGTCAAGGGGGGAAATGGTCTGCTGGATACTACTGAAAATGAGAATTTGTTTAAATATCCTTTGAAAGTAATTGAACTATTGCTCCTGAGCAAAGCAGACTCTGCATCCTGCCCTGTGGCCTTAAGGCTGGGGAAATGAATGCAGGAAAGCAAAACTGTCATCTCTAGGAGTCTTCATGTGCTACATCAGCCCATCCTCCATAAAACTTCCCTCTCGTGCACCCACTTCTCCCAGTTTTCTGATCTGAGTGTAAGGTGATTAATTGTTGACTGCCTGGCACTGATTTATCCCTCTTTCCTGGATTAGATAATGAGAAGCGCAGCAGTTCCGTAGGAGGTGAGTGTTGTCTTTTACTCCAATCACACAGACCCTTAATTAGCTCCTGTTGAAAACAAACAAGAAACAAAACAAAGCAAAAATCATGGTGGTTGTCTGAGAGTGGGGAGTATCTGGGCTTTCAAAAATAGATGTTAAGTAAAATGGGAGCAATATCTAGCAAGCTCTTTGCTGAGGTTGGGTGAATAACATGGTCCACCGGTGAAAATCCCTCATTCTGAAAGTGTGAGGGGCCAAAATTGTCTTTACTCATGAGCAAAAGGACCTTTTCAAGTGGATGATCCTAACTCTGTTTTCTGCTTCTTCTTACCATGCATGAAGCACCTTTCAGAAAATTGAGCTTGAGACCTTTTGGAAAGATTTATGAAGATGACTTAGGTATTCTTTTTTCCTTTTTTTCTGGGAATAATGGGAATATTTCTGGGAATATTGTTMTGAAACTGTGAGCAGTGTTAATCTCAATCTCAGCCATGCTGATAGCCCATGGTGTAATTTACTGTGGTGCTCTGGGGTCGGTGCCACCCATTGCTGTCCCTCGTCCCCATGACCTCCCTGCTGTCAGTCCCAGGCTGGATGTCCATAGGGAGCAGGTAAATAACACAGTAAAGGATGAAATACTGATATTCTTCTCCCTTCTCCCAGATGGCTATAGAATGAGGAGTGGATCAGTTCCTGGTAAGTGCTCCCRTTCTTCTAATTCAGAAAAATCATATAACATTTACTGAGTATGTGTGTTTGAAGCAGCATTGGGGTATCAAATGTATATTCATTGTGGATGCCCACTTAGTTTRTACAGGTGAGATTTTATTATGTGTTTTTCATTCCGTAGATATTTACACTATAGTTAATTTATAGTCTTGAAAATCATCTTGATACTTTTTCAGAAATAAAACATGAAAGTCCCTTGAAAATGAGTGAGAGAGATCTGGCAAAACATACATTAATAAGCTGGGGGAAATGTGGCCAAGTAACACAGGAGTTTTCAGGGCTTTAATCATAGCAAACGGCTGTAATGAGGGTAACGAGCTGAGTGTGGCTGCACTGGGCATAGCTCTCCCATAGAGAGCTGGCAAAAGTCATGARCAAGGCTGAGAGATGCAACCAGAGTCCGTCAGCCTCTCAACCAYATCCATGCTGTGGAAAATGGAGGGGAAAAAGCTCCTTTTGGAAGGGGAGAGGGCTCATGTACGTGGCTGCAGCTTGGCCAAGCAGGCTGCCCGCAGCAGCACAACGAAGCACAACCTCCCTTGCAGGTCGCTGGCGCTCTCTGCTCCAGTCCGGCAGCAACAAGAAGCTGCACTCACCAGGTAATTCCCTATCCAGGTATTCCCTATTCCCGCCCCCGGGGGCTGCCAGGCTCCTGCTGCCTGTCACAGACACACAAACCTGGCTCTGAAGCACCGGGCACCAAGGGGAAAACGTGACCAAGTGGTGCCCCCCGGCACACAGCAGCCCCCAGCACTCTGCCCTTTGGAAAATGTTCCTTTTGGGGCTGCCTAAAAACTGTCCACTTCGGTGGCAAGCTCTGCCAAAAGGGCTAATTTGAGGGAAAACACCAGTTCTTCACTAAATTCCTATTACTTTCAAATATTTCAGCTCTCAGGGTAGCGGAACAAGGAAGATCCCAGCCACTTGGTAAGTAATATATGTATATATATATAAAAAATATATAATAGGAGGCCCATTTTAATATAATTATTAATATGGCCATAACATACAACTTTTTATTAAATCTTTTTTTTTTTTTCTGGCTATATCTATTGCTCTAATTCAAAATCACTCATTACCTCTTCTTGGAAACCTCGACTTGCTCTTTCCATGAAAGCATAAGGTACCCTCATGCCCCACGAGACAGTCTTTCCAGCTCTGGGGTATAACTAGCAACAGAAATGTAGCACATATTATAAATCTTCAGCCAAAATAGCCACAAAGTTTTAAAATCTGTTGTTTTCATTATTAACATTATTACTTTTAATTGTTCTATGAAAACTGTGACTAGTATTTTCATTTTCTTCTCATTCTTTTGCCTTTTCAGCCAGTGAGTATCCCCAGCTTCTCTTGCAGTTACCTGGACAAAATGAAATCATCTGCTTAAATACCAGTGGGCAAGCGCAGTCTCCTGTAGAGCTGCTCTCTGACCCGGTGCAAGGTGAGCAAGCCGTGTCCCTCAAGAGAGGGGAACGGGCACCAGGACCTTGATCCAGATGTCAGACACCAGAAGGAGTTAATTCCATGGCCCTTTTGCAGTGAGCAGAGAGGCTGTGATGGTCCTTTCAGTCATCATCTGCACTGATTAGGGACCGAAGAAAAACCCCAGGGAGAGGAATGAGGGGTACCCCATGCTGAGGTAGACAAGGGTGACTTTGGTGACCCTGTTGGGGGACTTGGATATATAAAGTCCCTTGGGGACTTGGAGTTGGGGACAGGAGAGGCTGCAGAGCTGCTCTGTCTCCCATACCTATATTTTAAACCCTTAGGTCCAACAACCTGAGGCAGTTTTATTAAGACTAATCCTACTTCGTAAACACGGTTGTGTGACAAACTTGTGTCAATGTCATTGAAGGAATCTCCGTGACTGGGAAGCCTGGGGACAAGACAGGCCACTTTGTGCAGCTCGAAATTACCTACGTGGATCCTGCCGTGCAAGTCCACGTCTCCACGGAGCGCGTGATCGTGCACAGGGACCAGGAGGCCGCGCGGCTGCCGTGGGCCGAGTCTGCCACCTCCGTGCTCCAGGGGTAAGCACTGCCCCTGGACCAGCTCCCTAAACTGAGACGGCAAATCTGATCGTTTTACATCCAGGCCTTTGCTTCCACACTTGCCATTTGCTTCAGGTAGGTGCTCCCAAATGTCCCTGCAAGGGAGGGACGTGCAAGGAGCATGTCCCCATCCAGCTGCCTGGTTTCCCCTTGCACAAGAGAAAGGGTAATTCACATACATATATAATTTGYCTGACTAATTCGGGTGGTATCCCTGAATTTAGGGCTTGTGCCCTTACTTCCACATGCTCTTCTGTRCACCCAAAGTAAACCTCCAGGATGACCTGCTGTTCCTGAGTCTCCTCAGAGTGTCCTCTCCTTCCTTACCTTTATAATCCACACTCATCTATGTCCGTGTGCAATTTGCCTTTCCCCAGGCAGCATTAAACCAGGATTTGGGCTCTTGCACCTGCAGCACTGCAAATTGGCAAGGGAAGAAATGGTAGTGGATATTTGTGTCAAAAATAAATGGTTGTGAATCATACAAAAGCCAAATATAAAGTGTTTCACTTGTTCTTGGAACTGATTATTTTACATAGGCTACTCTTGGTAAAATGATGGGAGAAAATATTCTCTTTTTTTCTCCATTTTTTCTTTTATCATCATGGATAAGAAGGTCATCAGCAAAAAAATTCTTCACTCATGTATTTGTATGTAGTCTGCAGGGATATAGACCTTTTCTGTGGCACCTGGAGAAAAGATGGGTACTTAAGAGTTTCCAGCTGAAAAATAACCACCAAAAGGTCACAAAAAAACCAGAAATGCAAAGAGGCAAAAGGCAAAAATTAAACTATTTAATTCATGATGTGAAATCTGTCTTGGCATTATTCTTGGAAATGAACTGTGTCACTTACTTCCTAGGCTGAGAATCGCGGTTGAAAAGGAGCGAAGTCTGACACTGTCCCTGCCTGATACCGTCACAGTGAAAGTGTCCTTCATAAAGCAGCCAGATGATTTTCTTGGGCTCTATTTCTTGGACACCAATCATTTTTCTGACAAAGTCAGTGGATTTCTTGGTATGTATCATTATGCAATTTGTGTTATTTAYGATGGAGCAAAGAAGGCCCATCTTGTAACTAAGCAGCTGGACAGAGTGTGATGGATCCAGGCTCTATTTCCATCTCTTTTTGGGGCTTTGCAGGGACTTGGCACGTGGATGAGGGCATTTTCRCCTGGCAAAGTTTTTAGGTGACAAGTCTGTCAAATAAGCTTGCAAATRAGACTAAAATAAGGATAGGTTTTGAAAACAAACGAAAAAAAAAACTTAGAAAACAGTAAAATGCCAAATCCTGTTGTACTCCCTGCTGTTTAAAGGTTAGTCCCCCATTCTCATTGATCCCCAAGGCTGAGCCTGGGCTCRTGGGGTTAGGACACCCTGTCCTGCAAGGAGAGGGAAGAACCTTCTCAGCATCTCCCAGCTGCAGCAGCCCACCTGCATACAGACGCTGAGGCTTCTCCTTCTTGCTTTACCTCGTGCTTGAAATATGTCCTTAGGCATTCAAAGTGGGGGCAAAATGACACTTTTGGATGCACAATTGCTTTTAGGGGCCTAAATATTTCACTGGTAATTTTTAATTCCATTCCTAAATGAAATAGATCCTAAATTATATTTTCTTTGAGCCAAATCGTAACTTCTGATCTGGACTTTCCACAGAAATGGCATTGAATTTATTCCTTTCCAACATCTAATGTCACCTTTTTCTGCAGAGCAGTAAATGCAGGCCAGCTTTTACTGCAGAGCAATCCAGAGCTAGGGATTCATGGGGCAGGAAACCTTTTTTGGGGCAGGGGGCAGCTTTCCTGGTGTCCGAGCTGCCTTTTGGATTAAATGAGCAACCAGCACTGACGGTTCAGGTCAAGGATGTGCAAAGCAATCGGTGTGTCTTGTGCTCAGGGCAACTGTACTCCAAGGCACAACTGGAGATGAAGCCCAGCGCAAATCAGAGAGAGGATGAAAGACTCCTGAGCGTGTCCGGATCMGAGCACAGAGTTACCAGGTAATGGATACGGGATAAGGGGCAGGGAAGCACATATGTTATGCGACTGATTCTATCAGCAGATACCAGAGATCAAAGAAATAGAGGTTATTGATAAGAATAAGAAGATAAGATGATAAGAACCTGTCCTGCATGTAAAGGACAGCAGTTTGCTGTGTTTAGAGCAAGAAAAATATTGAAATTTCCCTTGCAGCCAGCTCTAGGGGTGGGATGCACCAGCTCTGCCCATGCAGAGACCCTCAGGCTTCTGGTACCAGCTGCAAACACCGAGTGYGGGCAAGCCTGTGGAGTCCAGGCCTGTCTTTGGGGCTTTCCTCACAAATGTTGTCCACTTTTTGGTTCTGTTTCAGGCAATACAAGAAAGACTACAGGCTTGAGTCAGCCGGTGATGCCGTGTCCTGCTGGTCATTAGATTATTCACCTAGAGAATAATAATTTGGGAAGCACTGCAAACGACGCCCTGCCTAACATTTTTGGTACTCTCTCRTTGAGAAAACTGCACAGTTAGAGCCTTACTTGTTAATGCAGGAATTCCATGTATATCTTACCTCAAAATTGTTATACTTTTAAGAAGAGGATTTGCTTGCTTGTTGTTTGTAATTTTTAAAGGGGTTCTATTACTCCGCTGGGTTGTATTGTGGAAGATTCATGTAAACTAAATAAAATCAACATCATCAGCTTACAGCTTCACCTGGAGAGACAGACTCCGTTTTCTGAATAAAAATCAGTAGCTTTTTCCATCCATTCCAGCACATCCGTTATGCAAAGAGCGCTGATCTTCTAAGGTGCACACRCAGTGCATTTCCAGGTAGGAATGACAAAGTTCTTGAATTGTGTGTTCTGCAAAAGAGCAGGAAATCAAAAGCAGGATTGGTTTATTGTTTCTGTCGTTGGTTAGTTGATGAAAAACAGCCTTGGTGTATAAGGATTTTTTAGTGATAGTTTTGTAGCAATGTTCAGAGGTGCTGAGATGGGCAGCRGCACTGTGAGCCGTGTCAGGATGGCAACAAGAGCACTTTTCACAGGCACAGCCGCCAGGTTTCTGAGGGTGGCTCTGCTTTGCACATCCCTCTCGCTATTTTTCCTCCAGAAAATGGCATTTCACTCCCCAAATTTAGCAACTTTTAGGGCAAGGTTTCCTGCAATGTTCCCCAAACATTTGCCACTAATGGACAGCTCAAAGTGTGGTGCATGAAGAGTAATGATGAGTAATCATATTATTAATGCAACGTACTGAGAAAGAGGCAGCCAAGTCAGGAAGATGGAGCAAACTGTAACGGGAGGCCTGTTTTGTGCTGTGTTTATGCCAGGGCTTGAGGGAGGTGCCGCCTTGGACACACGGCTGGACGAGCTGCACGCCRGGCAGCAGAGACTGGGAACTGCCAAGGCCGGCTTGCTCCCTTTGCTGCCTCCTGAAGAGGCTTTACCAGTTTAAAAAGCAGATTATTTCTGTGCCAATTAACTCAGTGTTTGAATCGCATGCTGTTGATGCTGCCTTGTAGCAGCTGTGTGGTTTCCAGGGGAGAATTCCCTGCTCCAGGGCACCTCTATGTTCCCTTCTCCAATTCATGCCAAGGGCAAGGACAGAAAGGAGCCCTGAAATCAGGGAGCTCCCATCTGCACAGACCCTTCCCTAGAGCTGCTCTGTTCTCCTGCCTGCTAAAAACTGCAGGGCTTCTCTCCTGCAGAGACCTCCAAGGGCTAGAAAGGTAGGATTTGGGGGTTTTGTTTTTGCATTACCTGCATCCTAATTTATTATTTAGTGACTTTTTTCCTGCCCCTTGCAAGCCCTGATGGGTCTCGAACTTCCTGCATTTCTTTCCCTTCCTAACAAGCTGCTGTTGAATGGAAGCAGGCACAAAGCTGCAATGAATATTTTGCTTTCTGTATTTACTTCTGATAAGATTATGCAGTATATTAAACCATTCCTCCTCTTCCTTTCTTTGTCCCTTATTGAAGTTCTGTCCAAGCTTTTCTTTCCTGTCCCACTCCATTTCCTCTTAACTACCTTTGTATTGACAGCTGATAAAACTTTTATCCAACCAGTTTCAACAATTATTTGGTCTCCCCCCACCTCTTCCTGTTTCTCTGGCAGCCTTCCTCACATTTTTTTGTAATTTGTTACTTTTTCCTGTTCGATTTTTCCAGTTGTATTTTAGTCACCTCTATCTTTTGTTGTTTTAGAGCCAAACAGGTTGGCTCTGTTGTTTTTCCCCACTAGGCTCCTCCTTCCCCAAGTGCTCTGGGCACCAGTTTCCCACACACTGACTTTCCCTCTTTGTTTGAGAACTATTAGGTAGAATTTCTACCTAACAGAAATTAGAATTTTTACCTCATCAAATAAGACTACAATAGTCCGTTATATCTGATTTGATTAAAAATCCAAATATGTAAGAAATTACATATATGTACATATATGACATATATGACRTATATGTAATGATTGCTTTAGAAAGAGCTTGCTTTGCATACTGTCTTTCTAAAGTAATTTCTCTACTGTCTTCTAAGTCTCTTTCTCTACTGTCTTCACTTTTTGCCTTGAAGTGCATCCAGTAATTCCTTTATGGGAGTGAAGGAAGGGATTTTACTGGAAGACAGTCTTGAAGTTTGTCCCAAAACTCTCTAAAAATAAAACATACAAACAAAAGAATCAAAAACATCAAATTCTGTGATTCTATGAAGAGAAAAACTACTGTTACCCACTATCTAAAACTAACTGCTCTTTGGTTGGAGATATTTCAATAATTTTTAAAGATAACGGGTCATTCAGAAGTTATTAATTAAAATGCTAAGATAGAAAAGTTCTGGGTTTCAACCAGCTGCTACCAGCCGTCTCAGGGGCTTTACCAGCACTGAGCAAAGTGCAGCCAGTTCCTCACGTGGTCTTAAGTCCTGCAGATTGATGGATTATCCTGCTATATATTGTGGTCTGTGAGTGCTGCTGCTGTGCTGAATTTCAAAAAGCATCTGGCAGCCTGGGCTTTGTGAAACTGCCATTAAAACACGGAGAGCCACTGGAATAAGAGACAAGGCGTTCACTTTTGATGCTTTTATTTAAAACTTCCATGATATTCAATTACAAAATGAACAGAATGTTCCTATTGGATTTTAAAGCGCAGAATTATATATCAGAACTTTAAAACTAGGGAATTTATTTAGTAAAACAGGGATATTTGAGGGGATGATACAGCTGTTTAGCACTCCAGCTCTCATAACACAGTATGACTGTCTTGAGAATATGTTGGCATTGCCAAACAGGGCAAGCTTATGTATTTTAATACTCCTTAAGCATTGAAAAGTAGTAKTATTTCAGACAAAAAATACTTTGTACGCCCATTATATAGGAGGAACCTGTAGTTATTTAAAATAGGCTGGAAACAATATAGTCTGTGTGAACACCATCTATGAGCCCAGCCCCGTTGTTATGAACAAACCAGCAGGGAACATCGATGCCATTCTTGGGATCTTTTCTGTAATCCTTCTGCCATCCCCTAAAATGGGAAACAATGTAAGTTTTGAAGCAGAAATTACAAGGCAACCTCTGCCTAATCTGTGCTAAAACCAGGTTTAATTTGTTACCTCGTTACTGTCAGCTCGTTGTTTTTAACAATCATCGTGGCGTCTGGTTTCTTGGGATCGGACCCAGGATGAATTTCAAGGATGGTGAAGTCAATGGGCTGGAAAAACTGGCCTAGGAATAAAAGGAAATATTCCCATTTGAGGATGTTGTGCAAAACCCAAATGAGACAAKCTGCAGAGCTCTCACGTAGAGCTTTATGTGATTGCAGAATGAATGACAGAGCCAAATCCAATGAGGAATGAGGACTCCTCCAATGAGGAAAACAGGGAGGAGAGATGGAAGGTTTTGCAGTTGCAACRTGATGTAACCACATGTCACGTGGGCTTTTTCTGACCGGTTATTCTACCCTGAAATGCATTCCAGGCTTGAGAAGAGGAACTTCCCAGCAGTTCCTTATTTTCCACAGTGAGTGAACTTACCCAGTGTGAAGGTTTGCTGCCTCTCTCGGATGCTGCYAGAGCAAATTGGAAGGCAAGAAAAAATGGCTGCTATTTTTGAAAGCTCCAGCAAAGAATACAGACCCTCAAACCCAGTCATTGGCAAAAAAGATACAATTAACTGGGTTAAAATTTTCATCCCTCAATTACTAGCCTTTCCTTCTATTAGAATAAGCAACAGGTCAGCTAACGTGTGGAAAATCCTAGAGGTTACAAAGCAAAATGCTACCTGAAGTCTTACCTAATAATCCATGGGTCTGTTTCGATAGTTTACCGCTGTCCAAAGTATARAGTCCTAAGAAATCCTGGTGGAGAGGATGTTTCTTCCACACTTGGTGCAAAACGATGACAAAGGAGGCCCCGCCGCCCATTGASAGCACCAGATTTTTTTTCCTGTTAATTATCAAATTTAAACTGAGGGGAAAAAAGAAAAAGTGGATTTAGGACCGTTTGTTTTATCGAGTTACCAGCGATGAAAGAACCTGAGAAAAGAAATGAATCCCCCCCMAAAAAAGCAAGCATGGCTTTATAAACGGCTCAAAGCCTTTCAAAATAAAGGTTGCACTGTAATTCAAACTCATTAATAAAAGTGGCGTTGATAAAGCCCACTCTTCTTTCCACGATTACTGCCTGACACCTTTTTCGTTTGTTTTTCAGACAAGAGGACGCCTGAACCCCCTAACTCAGCTCTTAAGGGCTCTAGAGTAGTGCTAGGACAAAGGCAACTGGCCTCTGGCTATGTGAGTGATATCACCAACAAGGCTGACATCGTTAAAAAATATATATAGGAAGTATCCTGTGTGAATGACCATTTTGCTGTTTTGCCCTTTCTGTTGCAGTTTCATGCTCAGACAAGATGGTTGTGTTCCAAGTACACCTCAAAAATGAGGAGGAGGAGGAGGAACCATCATTCCTTTTTTAAACCTTGCTTTGCACAGGTATAAGTGATTCCACAATAGGTAAGTCTTACAAAAAGATATACCTGCTGACATGACAAACTGCTCCAATAATACCGTGATTTCCATTTATTAGAATGGAGATTGGTTGCAACACATCGTTTTATCTTTGTCTGAAAAAATGCATTAGTGCATCTAAATTTATTCCTTAAGAGTTTGCTAGTCACTTGTTGCATTAAGTGTGAGACCAAATCTAGCTTTACCTGAGCTTTCCTAACAGGAAATCAGGGCGACTTTTGGTGTTACTTATTTCAAGGATATGAATTTATGAATTATCATTCATAAATGRATGGATCCAGCAAGAATCAGTTTCTTGTCTATATTCAGACAAYGTGTCTTTATTATTGATGAATGACCAAAAGAAAAGTCATAGTAGAGGAAGCTGATATTCCTTCTGTGAGCCTTACCCTTCTTGCTGCAGGGTGACTGAGTCGAGCCAGGTGAAACCTGTCTTTTCAGCACCGTTCTGAACCGTGATTTTCTCAGGAGTTACCATCACTCTTAAATTCAGATGCTTATTTGTAATGCCAAGTCTTCCAAAATAAGTATTCTGGATCTTAGAGTCATTGTTTGCTTTCTTATCACCGATAAGCTCTCCGTTGACTGTGATACCTAATGGAGAAAGGAAATGTAAAATACTGCTTTATGGATAGGACCTCATCAGCTGGTGGCAATTTAACAACAGTTCCAGGAAACAAAAAT